AGAAAAAAAAAATTTATTCAAATAACATCGACCACTTAACTCGCAATCATAATGCAAACAAAGTTAAGCCATTGATACTAGTGATCATATTGTAATTTGATCAATGGTCTTCGATCAGCACTGAAAAGAATTTGCCTGGTATACTGTTATAACGTGTGCTCGTAATATATATGAACGTGCAATTAGAGAAAGTGCGAATTTATTGATTGGACGCAAATGATACTTGAAATCGTACGAGCAGCCTTGATTGTGTATCGGCCCTGCTACTCTGCCTAGCCCAGCCAGTTAAGTCCAGAACACAAATAACAGCCTCGGCAATATGAATCATTATTTACAAACATACTGGGTTTTTATACAAACCAAAGTAATCAATAAACTGATTATAACTCAAGAATCGTATGATCATAAATCAAAGATCAAAATAAAGCTCACGATAAGAGAAACACGAATATGAATAGTTTAGTTACGTAACAATTGTATAATAGGAAATAGGCATAATACATTGGTCGATAAATAGTCCTCAGAGTTACCATTCATAATTCACCAGGGGATATAACATATACATAATACATGGTCACTATTAAGTGAGAAATTTCATACACATAGTTCCTTTTATCATTTTGAAAAGAGCAAGAACAAAGATTCTAGCATAGTAGCATGAATTCATTTTATTTCGTTGGTTCTTGTCAGCTGCTTTCAACCTTTGATATTTAAAATCACGTTTTATGGCAACATTAAGAAAAAGGGAACATGTCATTCTGTTCGTGTTCTATAGTGAATCGTCTGTAACAGTAAACAGAATGCAATCCTCCTGTTAGAACTTTTCAATAATGCTCATCTTAACATACAATTTACTATGGAACACGAACAGAATGACATGTTCCTTTTTCTTGATGTTGCCATAAAACGTAGGGGAGATGGAACAGTTCAACATCCGGTTTATCTAAAAAGTACTTGTTATGGCTTTCCGAGATTTTCTTTCAATTAATGAAACAATATCCTATTATTTAATAATAATCATCGTCTTCTATACTGATAAATATTTTCAAACTAAAAATGTTTACTACTTATAAGTAGCATAATCTGTATTGAAATAGTAAAAATTTATTTCTTGTCCCATTAAATTTCGACTACTACAACAAACCATGGGGAGCATTACATTTCCTTTAATACTCTCTAAATCATTATACCTGCATGTTCTGCTAGATGAGAATAAAATCCCAAACCCGTAACTTTTTAAATTTGACATTTATTTACAAAATAAAATGACAATCAGTGGAATTGTGCACGACTAATCGAAAAATTGCTTTCATTTGTAAGGGACAAGACATAAACCAGTGGTGGAGTTTGTTTTCTTATAGATGCGTTATCTGAATCCATTATTATAGGATGATGACACTGTTAACAGGATATGTATTCTGTTTAACCCCGTATATATTCGTAGGAATAAAACATGTCTAATACGAAAATGATTCTGAGCAAATATATTCCAAACATCCGTTATTTCAAACAGTAAGAGAAAAGATGCTGATCAGAGAACGTAAATGTGCTAACCCAATGCAACGAAGCGTGATTCAGCATTTATAGTCAAACAGAAAAAGCAAGCTAAAGACACGTGACAAAAAGAATAGGTAAAAAACACGCGCGAACTTGTACGCTCAGATAAAATCAATCAAGGTGACAAGCGAATAACTGATATGGTTAAATACGTACGTAGATAGTGTCTCAAACAGATCAGATTGGTTGTTATGTCCAAAAACTAGAATAATCCACGTACGTCTGAGATGTACTAAATACTAAAACCTAACGGATAGGTCATATATACATATGTTTATTGGTGAAGGGGGATTGCAGAGATTGTTTGATTTTCATAGTTTAAATCACCCACTGATCTCACCTAAGCAACTAGTGCAAACCTAGACGAACTGGATGTCTCTTTTGTCCCAGTATGCGTCTTCTCAGTAGTAAGCATCTACAATCCTACCCCAGGAATCGAGTACATGACCTAAGGTCTAGAGTACGGACGCTTAATCCCTAGACCACTGGATCTGGTACTCATTGATGCACATGTCTAACTTCAGTTAATTCTCAACATTATGTAACTATTTTCCACTATCTTCGATGAGTATCGTCCTCTCACCTGAAACAGTTAAAGTCTACTGGTCACAACTTCTCATTAGAACTCCAGAAGTTGCATATTAAAATCTTTTATCGCGATTAACTTGACTGGTGTACAAAAAGAAAGTATCACTGTCGATTCGCTGGCATAGCGCGTTACAACAGAACCATTGAAAAAATGTTTCGAAACTAGAACTGCACAGATATTCATCACCACCTGATTTTCTACGGTTCTTTCTATAACTGATATCCCTTTATGGCTTTTATCAACAACAAAAAAACAACCTACCGTTTCTTTTGTTTCTATTCATCAATTTTTACTCAATTTTATCAAATAACACAATTCACCATCTCAATCAATCTATTGTTTTCAGTTTAAACTATTAGGTTAATATAGTATTGTTATTGATTTGTACTTTATTTGTTCTATTCCTGGTTTAACCAATCCATAATGCTGTATATAGAGATAGATATATACATATACTCCTATTAGTATCCCCCCTTAATATACACTTTCTCCTTCTCTCTATTAGTTTCTTTCAATAAAGAAATAGAGATCATAACTATACTATTTTATTTCCTTGTTAGAATGTATTGTTCATTTATTCCTGTTTTAATTATTGTTGGATGATGAAAAAAATTTAAGAAAATGTTACAAGTTCTTCCGTTTTTTTTTTTTTGTTTATTGTTAGTTGTTTTGTTGTTTTAATTTAAACTTTTCTCAAAATAGGAATTTATTTTTCTATTGTATAAGTTTAGTTAAGAATTATTGTTTAATAGAATTAATTGAAATCATTAGTTCATTGTAGCTAGACTACCATGGTTAATCTGGAAGTAATGGATGGCTGTTTCGTTCTATTATGAAACTCCTGATAATTTAGATTCAATTGACTTATGATTTTAATTATGAAAATATTAAAAAATCTCTACAAAACCTCTTCTGATTTATAATAGAATTGACTTCAAAATATGAAAATAAATAGAGAATAGAAATATTAAGTTAATGTTAAATAGAGGAGATATGATTGTTTGTGTTATATTAGGGGAAAAGAATATGCTGTGAGTTAAGGAATATTTATTAAATGAGATTATATGATAATAATGATGAGTAGGATAATGATTGACTTGTCTTTAAATTAATGAAAATAAAAGCTGTTTTTCGTTAAATTTTTATTCAAATAAGACATATAAACATAATTGAAATATTTTAAAATTATTAAGAGAGAATATGAACTCATTATTAATATGAGTTTGAATTATCTCATCGTTGAGCGGCCTATGCTCCTCCACAAGAGGTAACATGCGTAAATAAATAAGTAAGTGATATATGCAACTGAATTCAGATGCAATTTTATTGACACATTTTGATGATTAGAAGTAGTTCAATCAATATTCTAAGAATACCTGTATTAGTTCAGTTTAAGACAGGTAGAATTAGATAAGCGCAACTGAAAAGTATAATATTTGGAATTTAAATTAACGGAAACATCAATTAGTACAAATATCACACATGTAAATTCTGTGTGGACTGTCAGGGTAAAGCCATTTTGTGACATGTTTTATAGACTAAATAAATTATGGTTAGCAATGAAAATCTGTTAGAAACTGTTCAGCTGGATGTACCTGTTTCACGGTGTTTATTTCCACACTGACACTTCAACCTATTGTCCTTTTCTTCAAATATTAACGCGTTATCCACTGAGTAACTTAGTTCACTAATTTGTTCAACTGTTATAAATCCGCCTGTAGCCTCTCTGGGGGCTACTGCCGGTCTCGAGCCCGGATAAAGGAAGAGGGTTGGACATAGGGTTAGCAACCCCATCCCGTAGAAAAATAACTCGCTATAAAATCATTAACCAGAAAAAATTATTCAAACCATTTAAACTCTACCCTGGGAGTTAGGTCTTCCTTTAAAAGTTATGACACCTCATGATGAAGTCACGAAGCCGATGCCTCTTCTGACGACCAGAGAAACCATTAATTTAGATACATGGAATGTTCATACAATGTAGGAGACCGGGAGAGTCATCCAGTTGGCTTCAGGAATGAAAAGATACAACCTAGAGGTGTTTGGAATCAGTGACTTACATTGGATGAAGGCTAGACGACAAAAACTAGCTTCAAGAGAGCTGCTGTTATACTCTGGCCACGTAGAAGAAAATGCCAGTTTTATTGGCTCATATGCAATCACTATTGTTTTTGCTTCAGTAAGCGAGTCTCAGTACTCCTTCGTGCACATCTTGTTATTAAACATTCGAAATATAGTTCAAAAGGCCAATCTTTATAACGAGATAGAGATGGATGGTGACTAGTATTGAAATCCGGTATGAGCGTTTCGTCTTATTTGGGACTCGTCAGTAGGATGTACCTGCATCCCAGAACTGATATCCAATTTGGGACTCGATCCCAGTACCTTTAACTTCAAACACCGACGTGTCATCTACTTAGCTACTGGGTCCAGATAGCCAAAAAGCTTATGCACCACAGTGAATTTTGATTTAAATTCATATATATTGCTTGTTTGGATTTGAATAACTACAGTCTTAGACAACATTGAAAAGATCCAAACAATCTGTATATCTGAATTAAAATCTTTCAAATTGTCTTTACTGTTATATAATTTCTAACACATTTCTACTTATCCTTGCAAATACATCTCGTCGTTTTAATGTTGTATGACAACTTTGACCAACACATATATGTATCTGCTTTTGCTTTAATTATGCCTGATTAAGTATGTTAAAGTTATGGTTTCTCAGTGTTGATAGTCAATATAGATATCTTTTTACACTTACTAGTTTTCAGATTACATATGGTGATACAAAAACTACCGTATCATCTCGCAGATCCCATTCAAACCAATAAAAATACACACGATAAAATACAACATTTTCAAAAATTTACTTTGATATTTTCAACAAAAAACACAAGTAAACATACAGTATGAAACAAACAAAAAAATCAATCTTTTTTTATCCTGTAAAACTGAAATTTTCTTTATCATACGAAGTTCTATACAATCATTAAATCTTAAAACACAAAGCACAAAATGTTTCTTAAATTAACTTATTCTATTATAAATGCTTTTCTAAAATCTAAATATATTTAGATTAAAACAGAAATATTAAACGAACTTGGGTGAGTAATAATAATAGTGGTAATAGTAATAGTAGTAGTAGTATTAGTAGTAGTAGTAATAGTAGTAGTAGTAGTAATAGTAGTAGTAGTAGTAATAGTAGTAGTAATAGTAGTAGTAGTAGTAGTAGTAGTATTAGTAGTAGTAGTAATAGTAGTAGTAGTAGTAGTAATAGTAGTAGTAATAGTAGTAGTAGTAGTATTAGTAGTAGTAGTAATAGTAGTAATAGTAGTAGTAGTAGTAGTAATAGTAGTAGTAGTAATAGTAGTAGTAGTAGTATTAGTAGTAGTAGTAGTAATAGTAGTAATAGTAGTAGTAGTAGTAATAGTAGTAGTAGTGGTAACAACAAGAGTTAGTAGTATATCAAGAAAACATTAAAAAAAAAATAAAAGCAGAATAGGATAAAACAAAATGGATTAAATTTTGCTGCTCAATAAGTTAATGAATAAATAATTGAACATGAAAATAATGATTATGATATGTACGGTGTCTTTGTTGTTATATGAAATTTCAGAGAAAAACAAAACAAAACAATTTCAATGGACAGAAAAAAAATAATGCATTATTACAAAAATTACACATAATCCTCTGTATTCTAAAAGCCAACAATAATATCAGATCTCGTAATATAAGGAAATTAGACCTAAAGGAAATTAGATCTAAAGTAAATTTAAATGAAACATTTCAACTACTTATAAGTAGATGACTTACAAATATTGAAATAGCTGACCTTAAGAGTTTCTAGAATAAAGACTTGAAATGAAAAATATTGAATAAAATTTAAAATGTTACAATTTTCTTTTAAATAATTGAAAAGAAAACCATACAAGGAAACTTGGCAGTTATAATATGACTGCCTATGTTACATATGTGCTCTACATTTGAAGTGACGTACATTACATTGAAAAAAACAAAACAAAACAAAAAACTGGTGAATGATTCACATGAAAGGAAAAAAATATATCACGTCAATATTAACGGAATAAGACAAACAAATAGAATTTAAAAAAAAGTATTTAGATATGCATTGGGGGGTTTCGTTTGAACTCATAAAAAAAACAGTTTTAGATATTCTCCCTTTTTTTTTCTTTTTACCCGGTTTATACATATTCGAGATGTTATGTATAGGAGTGTTCTGAGCATGAATGCAGGTCGGCATGATCTTTTTTTTTTTTACTTTTTTTTCAATTTTTTGAAAAGAAAAAAAACCGATTACATCAAAGAAAAAATAAATAAATTTAAAAATCATTTAAATAAATAAATAAATAAGCATATAAATGCTACGATGATAGAAAGGTAGAGGATAAAAGTAAAATAAATGAGAAAGTTTTTTTTTTAGAGAAATCACATTGAAAAGTTTTCATAAATGCAAAATTTGACTTTAAAAAAAGGATCATTTATAAAAAGAAGGAAAAAAAAGAGAGGATGATATGTAAACTGGTAAACTAGAACTATGAATTATTGGAATCATTTAAACAAAATATGATTAAAATGGGATAGAATTGCAAGAGTTGAGAACAATGGTTCCACATTCAGTTCAACACAACAACAGGTAAATGATGAGCAGACATATTCAAAGATGATATATATACTAACATATGCACACACATGAAAAACAATCACCATCGCAACAATAATGAATTCATAAAAGACAAAAAAAGAAAGAAATTCAGTAATATGTAATGATCATAAAATGATTTTAAGTCAACATTATTATTGTTTCTTTTCTAAATCTAAAAAAGGACTAAACAATTGTATCCCAGGTAAATTCTTTTGATGGTCCATTATTATTATTATTCACAGTTGAGCTAATGTCATTATTATTGTTATTATCATTATTATTATTAGTCATACTATGAATATTACTAAATGAATTCATGACAGTATGTTGTGATAATTGTTGATTGACTGGCGTATTATTGTTAATAGTAGTAGAAGTAGTAGTAGTAGTAGTAGTAGTAGTAGTAGTAGTAGTAGTAGTAGTAAGAGCAGTAGTAATAGTAGACTGACATAAACCTGAATATCTTTGATCGTCTAACAACAATAATCTATTTTGATGTTGATTATGCATCAATAAAGATGATTCAATGTAATGAGGAGGAAAAAATGAAGGCGATGACGATGACAATGAACGAAGTGTAGTGGTAGATGAAGTACAATAAGGTATATTATTATATGTAAAATGCTGTGTAATAGGAAATCTAAAATCTGTTGTATTATTTTGTGTAGAATTTGTAATAAATTGTTGTTGTGTTGTATTCAATGAAAATTTCTGTCCAATATTTGATTGATTAGAATTGTCCGAATGATAAAAAGGACAATTATTATTATTATTATCATTATTATTGGAAACTTTAAATTGTTCAATTTGAGCATTGCGTTCAAAATTATGATCATGCTGTATTGAATGATTATTATGGTTGTTTAAAATTGAATGATTATCACCACCACCAACACCATCATCGTCCTCATGAGGAGTATTAGACATGTACATTTTAAACTTTGAATTAACACTATTATTATCAAATAATATACGGTGATGATGAGGATGATGAGGAGAATTATGCTCAGTGCATTCATCATGACGACGATGATGATGTGACTGAAAAAATCGACTGGACGATTCATTATAAACTTCTAATGGTGTTGTTGTTGTTATCGTCACCTTCTCCCCTGTTGATTGTGGAACAACAGTGACTAGATTGATGAAATTTTGTGAAACTGCTAAATTATCAGTTGAATTCATCATCATTAATTTTCTAGAGTTATTATTATTACCATCATTATTATAAGCATTTGTATTGCTTATATTTTGTAATTCTGAATAAATCATATTGTTCTCATTGGTATTCAACGTGGAATCTGTAAAAAGGTCTGATTGAACAGGTGAAAAATAAAATGATATAGGATGGTTAGTTGATGAATTGATCTTTCTGTTCTGTTCAAAATGGGAATGCTGATGATTTCTTGATGATAATAATAATAATGACTGGGAATTATTATCACAATTGTTATCATTATGTGACTGTTGAATTTGTGAGTGCGATGTTGAATGAATGTTTGTATGTAGTTGATTTTGATAAGTTGAATTTGAAAATGAATTATGTAATAGTCCATCATAGGTTGAATAGTTGTTGTCAGTGTAAACTGAATTGAAAATATAAAGGCAAGATTTTGGAATACAGTATCACTAATCAACATCACGTAGAGATAATACAAATATACGATTATCAGAAGAGGTTTTGTGGAGATTTAGTATTTTCATAGTTGAAAGCGTGAGTCAATTGAAGTTAGACCACCATGGAAAACCTGGAAGCACTGGACGGCCGTTTCGCCCTATTATGGAACCCCTCAGCTTCAGTTGACTCCCACTTTCAACAAATATACGAGTTAATAAAACAGTGAACTGAGAAAAATACACGAATAAAAACAAATAAATACAGTAAGACTATAACATATGAACGACCTTTGAGGGATGCGAAAGTAGCCTTGCGAAACTATAACAGATTACTTTGGGTCGAAATAGGGTTATGAATTAGTGTGATAAATTAGGATAAGTAGTTATGGTTAGGATCTAGAGTAAATGTTTATATGACGAACTGACATAAGTTATAATGTAGAAATACCATTAAGTTATATGAGTTAATAAATCTGGCGTGAACATCCAATGGTAGTTATACTAAATTTGATTAGTTCGTCCATAAATCATCGTCTTACTTAAAGACAATCATTTAATATCTACGGAGAGAAGGAAATGGAGCTGCTTCACTTTTGCTAATTAACAGAGATAGGAAAATAGGGACCCAGTAGACCTTGATTTGATTATGGCTTGAAGGTATTATTTTTGAGGCAATAATATCTCAGAGACTTCAGATTGAATTTTGTGTCAAGTTGACGAGTTGTATTCAAACTAAGATGAAATAACAGTCTCGTTAACTTCATAAATTTAAGTGTTTATCTTCCCATTATATCACTTCATGATGAAAAATACACTCATACAATACAGAAATCGCCTTGCAAAATTATATTGGTAGATTTTTATTTGCGGGGGTTTAAAACATGTTTGATTGTCTCAGCAACATTCCACTGTCGATCATCTCACGTGCCCAGTTTGTACTTTTTAAATGAAATCAACCAACAGAAGTCAAAAATCTGCTATAGGGTAGGATAATCTAGTTTAATGACTGGATTACGATCAACTTCAGAAAAGCTGTTTTTCTTCACAATGTTTCAACTACATAAATAGTCTTTAATATTTCATGAATTTACTAAGGGCCTTTCATAAGTTTCACAATAGATTCACTGTTGCGTTGTTTTTTGTTGCATATATTGAAAAACGATGCATTGTAGAGGATCCAATATGTAACACTATATCATTTAATTTACTTCGTGACTGGCTATATTACAATCTTTGTTGAATATATTTCAACGACAACTTTGTATCAATTTTATCGCCTGGTGTGTGTGTGTGTGTAAATCATATGCGTCAATCATTAATCGAATAATAAAATATTCACAAAAGCAAAAAGGGAAAAAAATAATTAAATCATCAAAACAGAACTAACTTGATGTTTTTTGAGCATCAATTTCATTGTGAAATTTCATTGAAGTCCATATCAGATTTTGTTGATCGGCGATTGTCTCATCATGTGATTGGTTATCGACTAGACTAATAGCAGAAGTGGTGCTAGAAGTAGAATTAGTAGTGGGCTGATTAATAGTATCAGCAATAATATTATTCCCAGTACTATCCACAATCGTATTATCATTAACATTCTTGGAATGAGTGTATATATTTGAAAATCTATCGGAGGTATTTACATAATTAGCAATAGTATTGGTAGTAGTAGTAGTAGTAGTTTTAAGATGAGACAATAAAGGATCATTATTATTCATAGTATTATCAGTATGACTTGTCAATGTTAGTTCGTTCGATGTAATATTAGTAGTGGTACCACTATTGTTATTATTAATATTATTAAAATTAGTACAAACAGATCTGGGATAATTTGATACATGGTTTAACTGGTGATGTGTAAGATGATGATAAAGATTTCTAGTGCCAACGCTAGCAGTTGTTGTTATCGTTCCAATAACAGTAGTATCAGTAGTGACCGTTGTCCCATCAGAGGTTTTTGGCTGGATTTCAGTTATACATTCATTTCGCTGTGATCTCTTACAATACCTGTCATGAATTGGATTGATTTGTTCCGATGAAAATACGGAATGATGTAGTTTTGTTGGAGAACACTTATTGAAAACACCCATAACATCAGAGGCAAATGGTGTAGAAGTAGAAAAAGAATTAGTCGAAGATGATGATAATGAAGAAGTAGAAGTCACAGAATCATTAACAGTAGGTGTAGTCTGTTGAATATGATTGAATAATTTATCAAGTGTTAAATTCAACTCCATTAATTGTTCAATAGTAAGACTGTTTGGATTTTGACTAACACTACGAATTTTAGATATTAATTCTGTATGAAAGAATAATAAAAGAGAAAGAGGACAATATCGCACCAATATAATAATAATAAAGGCATAAAAATTAAAACGTGATTAACTTATTTCCACCATTAAGAAGTGATAGTCAGATTTTTATCCCTTGTATGAGACTTATTAGCAGCGCTTATCTATTATTCTACTACACTAAGACAAGGCAACTGCTCAGTGCTTTCTGGTTTGTGGTAACTGTTTGACTAAGGCCACCATGTGATGTAAACTACTAAATTCAACAATCTTTACAAACCCTTTTACACTTATTTTGGTCGTTGATGCAATGAACAATACTACGTGAAACCCGTTGAATAACTGTAACAACAAATTCAAGAAGTTAATGTACCTTACTAATCAAGTACAGGTTCTTGTGTTTGTGTGTGCAATTTACTCAAAATTAAAATAGATAAATGGAGTTCAAATATATGACCCTATGAGTAAGTGCTAAATGTAACAACTATTAATCCACTGATTCAACACTACAAAGACATGACAACAAGAAGAACTAAACTCAAATAATAATGGTTAAAGTGTACAGAAAAAATACTTACCGATTCATAACCGATAAATTAACTACTACTCCTACTAGAAGGTTAACGCTATGAGTTAATGCACAGTGGGAAATAAGTTAGTTGAAATTAATCAATGCAGAGCCATATACTTAGATTTGGTGCTAATTGTCATTTTTCATCAAGTATCTTCAATTTAGAGAAGATTGGTACTTTCCCCCTTTAAATGCAAAACCATAGTCTGTCATCATCAAAGAAACTACCATTGAACTATTCTAGTTTTTGGGATAAATGTTTAGATCTATAGTGAATCTATTGTTGATGGATATAGAATTCTCCATCTGCAATATCTCCTTTCTCCTTACATCAAGTCATGTCAGTCTTGTTAGATCGTAACAAACAACAAGTAACCAATCGTCTCCATAATCATAACGCATAAACATAGCAGTGTTTTATCCAGTTGCAACATGATGGTCCAAATTCAATTAAGATAATCACCAATGTTATTCAATTTTGTTTTCGACCTCTAAAAAGCCTAATTAAACTACCACAGTAGAGATGAGAGGTGTAGGGATGTAGAATTTTATTGGCATGAACCAACAAATCGTGAAGTCTCATTCACACAACTATACTCTGATAAAAACGACACATAATAACACTGTTATTACCAATTTTATCGTCAATAAAAACATTGGCATCATGCAGTTCGATGAATTTCACAAAAGAGGACATATTCAGCACATTGTACATAAGCTCTTAATGTAAATTGTCAAAACTTGGTCAGTTCTCATGGTAGGGCAATGTATTTAGTTTAAATGTTTACAAATATGTTCACGTATAAGATATACAAGTAGGCAATTCATAAGTACGCCAATATATATATATATATAATATATGGGTGTGGCAATAGGTTAAAACTATGCATGAATAAACAGTGTTATACCTAGTATTAAGCTGATCAGCATATATATGTATATCGATTTAGCTCATATAAATATTGTTACTGTTTATACTACTTTCCCAACTAAAATAATGAAACCACAAGAAGTCAATCAATCATTTTTTTTGTCATTCCTGCAGAAATATAATAAGCATCATCATCATTCAAGTCGTTGCCATAACCATCATCTTCATCATCATAAATGGACGGCATTATTGAATGAAAATACCAAAATAATCAATGAAGAGATTTAATCAACATCACCATCATACGTAGTCGATAATATATAATTAAACCTCATAATTTGTTCATCATTAATTATTTATATGAAATGAAAGTTTGAAAGTTAAAAAGAAGAGTAAAAACAAACAATAAGTTAAAAGAGGGTTTTCTGTGGAGATTTTAAGTAATTTTCATATATACTTGGAATCGTGTGTCAATTGAAGCTAGACCACCATGGAAAACCTGGAAGCACTGAACGGCCGTTTCGTCCTATTAACACCGTTGGATGCCGGTTAAGTGGTCTATTGGTTAAGTGCTCTGGCGCGAGACTTGTAGGTCCTGTGTTCGAATCTCGCGAGTGCGGGATCGTGGATGCGCACTGCTGAGGAGTCTCACAATAGGTGTTGACGGCCTGTTTAAACATCTGGGCTACCTGTTCCTGTCATCTAGATATTTCAACAAGTTATCTAATTTTGTTTGTTTTAATACATCATTATGCCTATTAATCGCACAACCTATTCAAGTGCGTTTCTGAAAAGTGTAAGACCTTTCGCTGTAAAGGTTACAGAAGGCTTATTCAGAGATATCGTGGTTTCTGGCAATATGCAGCGAGAAGAATGTACATTGTCCAGATGTCGATTGACTGGGCTGCTAACTTCTAACCGGCGATCACCCAATATTTGTCGTCAGAAAGGACGAAGAAGTAAGAAACGGAAACTTGTTGAAGTACTTTGTGCTGAGAATTCTATATTGTAACAAAAATATAATGTTGAATAAAGCTAATAATAATAAATATTAAAAAAATAGAACGAAACGGTCGTCCAGTGCTTCCAGGTTTTCTACGGTGGTCTAGCTTCAATTGACTCATGATTTCAGGTATATATAAAAATGAGTTAAAATACATAAGATTAATTTTTTTCAAGTTACTAAACATAATAATCAAATATAAGCAGAAACGTTTTTAAAAAGACTTATTTTTTTACAAGATTTTACAGTTTCATTCAATCCCCCATTAAACGTTGACACTAAACTACTGTAATATAATCTTAAATCATTATAGTTAATCGAGTTGACACAGGAAAAAAACGTAGAAATTGCCTGTTGTAATTTTATATAGATGATTTATAGTGATGGTGTTATGTTCTCTGAGCTAGATAATTTAATGGCAAAGCTTTCATTGCCATTCTGGACAGTACATTCGGGGGTTATTTCATATACAAGTGAGCTTATTTCACTAGTGGTCATTCTGATACTTTTGTTTGTGGTTAACTGACTTTGTTGATTCTGGTGTTAAAAGTTATTCTAACATTCATATTGACTGCGTTTATTGGTTGACCTGTTCTGTTCCTACAGTTGAACAACATATGGAACTCAAAATAATTGTCAGTCAACATAAAGGCCAGAATCTTAAATACGAACGTCAAGCCAGCTTTATTGTACGGAGCTGAAACTCAAAGAACTATTACACCATAACGAAAATGGTATAGGTATTTATAAACTGTTGTCTACGCAAGGTAATCAGTGTCCGTTGACCGGATGTCACCAGCAATAACCTACTATGGGAGAGAATAAACCAGTTCCAAGCTGAGGAGAAAATATGGAGAAGAGGCTGGAGGTGGATAGGACATACATAACATCACGAGACAAGCTGTAACTTGGAATCTTGAAAGGAAACGGAAAAAAGAAAGGCACAAGAACACACTGAGTCGAGAATTGGTAGCAGACATTAAAAGAACGAATAGCAGTTGGAAACAACTGGAAGGGATTGCCCAGGATAGAGTTCGATGACGAATTATGATGGGTGCCTCTGCTCCTGGAAGAGGAGAAACAGGCGTAAATAATAATTCTATGAATAGCTTTGGTTTTTGTACATAAAATAAGCTTCGAAATGCGGCTTCAATCACATCTTCCAATTGTTTTCCTTCTAAGCTTCAAGTATCAAAGTGTATGCGGATCTATAAAGCCGCTAAGAAGTCAATAACTAAACCCTCCAGTGTGGCTCATATATCACTGTTACTACCTATTAGTCAACTTTCGCGCAGTTTGATAGTATGTTTTTGACTTACATTCGACTTCATACGACTTTAGGTCTGGTTTACGAGTACTAATTTATCGTAATTGAGAAAATTGAAAAGAAACACTAAAAAAAATAAATGAAATTCATTGACAGACGAATTGTTTGTGGAAACTCCCCAATCTATAAGTGTATCACAATAAGTATTGAAACATAACATTTTCATCTGATTATATTTTTAACTTGCTAATCAGATGTGTTTGTATACATTTCGGGTTATAAAATGAAGCAGTATCTCATTGACAATATCACAGTCAATCAATAAAATACTACTTCACACATATACAATACTTCAGTGGTTCAATTACTTGACTTTCTACCACAGGATTGCAGCTTCTTACCCTGTATCATCTACTATAGTTTGATTAGCTGTCACACATGACTTTTGATAGTGGTACAATCGACCACCACCTACCTCGACGTTCAATATTTACTGGAGTAAGAGCAGGTTGGATGACAGCTACGGACAGCCAAACCAAGATGTGGCATCAGTCTATGTAGTCATTGGCTGTTGGACTGAGTGCAGTTGACAGGAACTGGTTATTATCGTGATTAGTGTTTAGACACGACGTTAGTGGACGATTTGCTGTTGATCCCTATGTCGCAGATGTATTCACTTCCTATTTCTCTGTAATTCCTGAGTTTTAAAATTATCTTATACTTTTTATTACTTGAATTTATTTCTCTTACGCCATGTCCTCTATGCTTAATATTCTTAAGTATAACTTAAATTACTGTTAGATCGATTTCTTTTGCTATAAATTCTGTTAATTTCATCTCACTGTGCAGGCATGGTATGAGATCTTAGGTTGGACACACACATATTCACTCGCTCTATGTCGATTATGATTATAGCTGAATAAACTGTGGCTCAACTTCAAGTAAATTAATGTACATATTCTTACGGTGTGATACCAGTTTAGTGTTTCAAATTACTGACATATGATAGCTGTTTCTAACAAAAAGCAATAATTTTGATCTCATAAACCCAGTAAATCATAAAATAATAATCAATAATGACATCAAGGCCATAATTTAGTTCGAGACTAACTCCCTTTTTTCACACTAAGTATAGACTAATTAGTGGGCAGATGAAGTCAAAACAAGTAATATTAACAATTATGCCGCACTAGAACTATCAAAACCAACCTGGATATTCATCTAGATTGATACTACTCCAATCGAAATTTGTAGCCGCTTGTAAAGTTTTTTGTAATACATAGGTTAAATTTAATGAGTTATAATTATGATTATGATAACTACAATTATTTAATAATCCATTAGATGCTTTTATAATATTGTTTGATGATGTAATTAGTTGACGATTCTGATCATTTTGAGAATAAGCTGAATGATGTAAAAATGATGGAGATGATGTATGACACAAAGAGGAGGAAGATGATAAAGAGTCCGAGATACATGATGATGATGATATGAATTGCTGGTTACTATGATGATGACGGTTATCTGATGATGAATCCCACATACGATTGTTTAAGTATAGGATATTATTATTATTGTTGTTCAATAAGTGAGAATTACAATAATCGATTATATTTTCCTTATTTGTTATAACAGTTGGATCACCTGTAGGTATTGTTGTTGTTGCCATGGTTGTCGCTGTTGTTGTCGTCGTTATTTTTTTAAAGGATGCTTCATTTGGTTTATTTGATGAAAATTGACTAGATAGCTCAGGTGTATTTTGAAGATCCATTACTGAATGTGATGATAGTTCTAAAATAAATAAAAGGTTACTAAATTATGAGCTCAACAAAGAAAAAAGTAAAACTTTCATTGACTTTATTACTAATCAATGTCAGGTAAGCTATATATTGTTGTGTAGCAATGGCTAAGTAATTGATGTGTTCGACGTTTGTTCACTAAGTCTTAGGCCTGAACCCCGCTGCCCCATCTATTTCAGTTTGAACAACAGAATAGTATTATTAGCTCTCATACTTATTGTGGTTCATACCTAAGTACCTGGTGAATTAGTTAATGTGATTTAATACTTTTTCACATGCTGTATTATAGGATGGTATCAGCCTTAGGATTTACTGTCAAATTTGGTTGAATCAACTGATTTTATGCTTTGAAATAAAAATTCCTTTAAAAGGACCAAACAATGTACCTAAACATGCAGAAAGTTGAGGTTTATAGTCATAGATCGGTAGAACTTTCAAAGACAAAAGATGAAGCAACTCTATGAATAGGTGTTCCATCTAATATTTGATAACAGTCTGAGTTATCGTAAATTTTAATGTTTGACCAACGGAAAACGTTTATACATACTTGTGCTCTAATAGTAACCAGTGTTCTTTCTATTCAAGCCCTATGTATTGATCGAATTATATCTAATGGATTGTAGTCATTTCTATTTTATTCCAATAAAAGATATATGATAAAAGTAAATAAAAAATCTAGGATAAGCGATTTTTGGCAGTTAACATCTATCAGCAACTTATGTGGCCCAATGTTTACGAGAATGAAACTTAGGACCTGAGTTTACTGTCGCGTGATGGCAAATACTAATGTTGATTCACTTGTCCATAATTTTATTCATATAAAAATATATTACAGCAAATAACTTGTTCTGATGCCGGTAGCTTGAATATATTATGAAGGTACAGCTGAGTGTGCTGTCTAGCTACTTATAAAGTGGAATATTATAAGCTTTCAAAACGTTTAGACTGTACTTAAAGATTTGGCGAGCAATTACTATAAACAAGTAATGATTATTAAAATGTGCATAATACAATCATGTCATAATCGAAGCCATTTGTCATTTGAATCCCTTAGGTGATAATTTTCACTCAAATGGTTTATTATAATCCCGAGTTGACTAATTTATTGACTTAACCACAGAGTTTAGCGGATAAATTTTGGATAATCTATGTATATCGTAGATTGCTACGTGTTTATTCTTATTGTTCGTGCAATCAATCACACCGTTAATATCTCAGTACAAACAATTTTATAAATAAAAAGCTAAAATTCCTACACATTCAGATGTACCTTGTTAGTTAGTATAGAATTTCAACTTACCAGAACCATCAAATAATGAATGATATAGATGTCGAAATGATGCACTAAGGTCCAATTCACCCGTTGAAAAGCTTGATCTTAATGAATGATCTTCACATTGCTCTTCATCTTCATCTTCACCTCCTCCTACTACTCCGACTACATGTTCTTGCTGTGAATTAACTGTATGGTTTGACTGAATCATATAGAAGTCAACAATCGATGGTGATGTTGAAGAAAGTAAAGGTCCAATTGAATTATTATTATTATTATCTTCATTAACAAACGTTAACATTTCATGTACATTGTTTTTACTGTTATTTATGTTTTTTTGGAAGTCACTATCATAGTTATACAGAAAATCGCTATTGTTAATACCTACTAACGTATCAGAAGTAGTACTTGTTATGTTAGCTGATGATGTGTCAAACGCTTTAATTAACAAATCTGGAGAAATGCTAGATATATACTGCCTTGTATTTATTTGTTGAGGCATTGACAACCTATTATTATTGTCTATTGATAGATTTATTTCCTTATTAGATGTATAGCATACGGAATTAGTCTGTTGATCTGAATGCACAGATATTTTGCCAGATGTATGATTTACCACGTTTTCATATTCATCTAATCTATGCAAATAATATCTGCCATCTCTGTTGATATGGTCATCAATAGTTGAGTTAAAACTGGTAACAGAACAAGTAGTAGTGTTTGTAGAGGTATTACGTGTGACGGAAGTTTCATCATTACCGATTGCATGTTCATTGTTGAGTATGCTATCATCAGAAGTGGTCATTGTAAGAGAAGTACAATGATTTGGAAATAATGATCCTGTCTCAAATAAGTCTGATGTATTTGAACCCATTGAAAATCTGGTACTAAGTTGAGGACTACAAGTTATCAAATAATCATTTGGTCTAGTTATTGCATTTATCTGATCAATATGTAATGCAACACTGTTTTTATTGCTATTGTTTTGATTATCATGTTCCATATGTACATTATTAGAATTATCACAATGTTTAGGAATAGTACAATTGGTATTTGATAATATATGATTATTTGATCCACGGGAAACTGGTTTATTCAAATGATGTGAAATATTATTTGTTGCGTTATTATTGTCAGTAATATGTTGATTTTCTATAGTATACTCGTTGTACACAGAACTTAGTAAACGCGTACGACTAATTCGATGAGCTTTTGAGTTAGGTAAATTATTATTACAATGGTTAACGTGATTAATTTGAGCCTCTAAATTAGAGTGATTAGTTGTAAATTGCAGGTTATCATGGTTGTTGTTATTATTTGTATTTTCAGATGTAATTAAAGTTGTATCGTGTGTAGGTGATACTTTTTGTAATTGTGATATGTAACCCAGACTTTGTTCTGAAAAAACAGCCTGAAAATGTACCAAACAATAAAACGTATTAATTCAACAATTTGTAATGAGCTTTGTGATCATTCAAAGATAACTGATTTTTCGTGAAGTTGCGTTCTAAAACCTTGGGGATCTAATTGTGAAACTCATTTAGTCCTTCTAGATATCATCAGTAAAAAATATTTGGTTCAAATAATAAAACGCTGCTAAAGTCATCCTCCTAAGCTAAAAGTATTCCCCACTATTTGAAAGGCAAGTAAAGTAGTCTACTTATTTTCCAGCATATTTGATCGTAATCTTAAAACTGCACACAAATGTTTACTAATACTGAATATAATTTAAAAATTGTATAAGTCAGACAAATCCACAGACAGACAGAACAAATATTGATGCAGAATAGCATGAATTCATCATATTTCGTGGTTTCTCATCAGCTGCTTACAACCAAATATGTATTAGAGTTTTAGCATTTTTTGTTATAAGCAGCTGATGAGAAACCACGAAATTTAATGAATTCATACTATTCTGCATCAATATTTTTCTGTATTTATTTAAATTCATAAAGGGAACTAACTGTATGAAATCCACATACTTCACATTATTTTGGGGGTTCAATTACAAAAGGCTCACTAAAAGACTACGAAAAGCACTATAAGTTAGCCATTGGTTTTGAATAACCTAAAAACAAGTGCTTGTATGTATATGCGCCATAACCAACCTACTCTTATGGAGTCTTGTTCGATGTCCGTCCTACCAGTGGTGAATCTTTGAAAACATTTAGTACTGGACACATAATCATCATCATCATCAAATACCTTGTCTACACTAAACACTCGAATTTAACAAACCTGTCAGTCAATATGAACTACAAAGTGATGACAAACCTTTAAAAGGTACCATAAGTTTACTGTTTTCTATAATATTCAGTATTCATGTGTTTATGCGAAGTGAAAGGGTATGAATCGGCTGAACAAAATCTCATATACATAACGCTAGGTCACAAAAGAATGTGTCAACTACAGTAGACAAAAACAATAATATGAAGGCTGAGATTTATGTTGGAAATTATTTGCAGTATTCATTAACATTATTTCAAATTACTGTCGGATCAAAAAACTGCTAGACGATGGTTTAGACCTTATCAAGGTAGTCTTATGGCGCAAATAATCTTATGTAAATAAGCTGAACTGAACAAAATAAACTATTTAGAATCTGACTACCAAAATATCAGATGAGAACAAAGAAAACGATATGTTATTCTATCAACTTTCCTCAAGAAATTGCAAATAAATAAATGAGATTGTTTTGTTTTATAAGGCAAATAAGGATTGCCAAGAGAAATTAAGTCAGTCAATAATAAATATCTGTATACGCATTTGCAGTGATTTATTCATAAGTTGAATGACGAATGTGTGATTAACAGGATAAACTCAGAATGAAATAAAGAAATGAAAGACTGGAGTTCGAAAATATTTGATGAGAAAAAGGACGGAACAGTTCAACTGGAATAAAGATAGGGTAAACAGATATCATGTAAAATGAGAAAACAACTTATAGTCTTCTGATTTTAATTATTGTTTGATCCCAAGAAGATATCAAATAAAGAATCACAGGGTGTAAAGTTTACTTATGATCCAAATCGCACAGTGCAAGAACTATGATCCTTATGAATATATCTTCCGGATATAAATTCAGATTTAAGGATCTTATACACTCATCTTATGCACACAGACATATGTTAATCTCTCGAAAGAAAAACCTATACCATAATACTGGTCAAAATACAAGGCAATTTTTGCCCTGTTATAATACGAAATGAATCCATTGATAGTGAATGTTTTTACATACTTGTCTTTTTGGAGCTGATGGCATGCACTCCTGGTCATCAAACTGATGAGACAAACACCAATAAGATCCCTTGCCTGGTTCATCTCGAGAGCGTGGTATTTTGGTGAAAGACTTATTGAGTGATAAGTTATGACGAATAGAATTCTAGGATAAATCAGTTTAAAAATGAATTTATACCTTCCAGCCACTCCCGGCTTCACAATAATACGGAAAGTTATCACAGATCCATTGATAAATTTCACTCAACGTCATTTTCTTTTCTGATGTACTTTGTATGGCACATGTTATCAAGCTCGCATAGCTATAAGGTGGTTTACTATCCGGTTGGTAGGGCGTGGACCCACAGTCTGACTCCGTTTTATTATCATCCACACTCACGGAGTCCCAACTGTCCATTTCAAAAGGAAATTCACTTTCAATAGAAGCTGTTAACATGCTTATACTGAGATTTGGAAGCCAATCTATGGCAGTCAGACTATTATCTGGGTCTGTCATAATCACCAGGTTCAACCCATTTCAAAGGAGTAAGTTTATATCACCAACGTTCTAAACAAGGCATTGGATACCAAAGCATAGGTTCAATATATGCTATCTCACTATTAAGCATAATTAATTGAGCTTACTATTTAGTTTATTCTCATTTTTGAATAGATTTATTCACATGCAAACAGTTGCTTAATTAGGTTTACGCACCTTGGACTTCTTTTGATAGAATCAGCATTCCGTTTGTTCCCTTAAACCTGCGTCTTAAGGGTGGGAAAACATTCTTGATTATGGAAAAGTATGGTTTTAGTCATAGTACTCCTGGAAATGTAAGTAATAATAATGTAAGCGATTGTGGAGTAAAGGACAATAACCACCCTTCGAACTTACGTAACTAAAGTAAACATCTGTGCCACTTATATCTCTCGTATTCGAAAGTTCCTTCGTTTTAGAGATTTTGACCCCAAAACTTTTGTACGGACTTTATTACGAGGTCCTCCTATCTCTTTATTAAATGAGTGTCTTAATAAGTATGACCGAATACTAAGATGAATTAATGATCTATTTTTGTGAAGTGGATTATGAGCGTTACAATTCATCTCTAGGTTTCAGATTCAGAGCTTCCCAGCGAAAAGGTTCGCCATATTTTTGGCCTGAATATCTTTTTAGTTGTCCACCAAATAGCACTTTGCAAAAAAGAGCTGTAACCCCTTTCGCGACATCTCATAAACCTAAAAGGAAGATTATCAGTCGATGATGAATGGAGTAGTGATAGAAAACATATATAATATTCTCCTTCAGTACTCTTAGGACTATAGTAGGTGTTCAGTATTTTTCCAAAAAAACCATGAAAAAGTTTCAGAACTACACATTCTAATCCCAAGAAAGACTATGTGTTTCTTTGAGTACCATTTCGTGTCCCATATTGAAACTATCCCTTCCTCCATAGTGTAGTTTAGTGCCAAAGAGCACTGTTGGTACCCTGCGGAAAGTTGTATTAAGTACGATGACTGGAAAAGATGGCACCGCGACATTTGCATGAATATCATGACTGAGTCTTCCAAACCGCTCAGTAAAAATGAAAAGATTTAGCTGTGTCAGAAATGCTGATGGGACGCAAATGGCTTGATATCAGTAGCCATTGAAATGGCGGATGCATTTGAACGACATATTAGCAGCCTTTATCGATATACATCAAATAGCACCCACTCTATCAATCACAAATCCATGTGAGATCGTCCCAAATCAGCTCGGAGACGATTGGCTTACACAGACCAAAGAAGTAAAAATGAACCCCAAAGCAAAATGATAGGAACGAAATCTCAAGGAAATTTTCTTCTGTTCCCCACACTCTGAATGGAAGGTTGCAGGAGACGCAGAAAGCCTAATCGCAAGTCCAGGTTCGTTTCTAGTAGGTGAAACAAGTCACACCACCCAATTCATCAACAGTCATCCGGGATCTCACAGTGTGTGTAACGCAACTGTGATTGCCACTCTAATGAAAGATGACATTTGGGTACAAATGAAGAATAATTAACGACTTAATGTTGTTCGAGGAATACCAGTCTTTAAACAGTATCTGGGGCCTTCAAGTCTGAAAATAGTGACCGGTCAACCACATTTCACAGAGTCAAAGAGAGTGAAGGCTGCAGCCCAAGAAATCATTTTCGCCTCGACATATGCTAGGGAAAAGGTTAGATTATCTCCGTGGAAACCTTGCTTAGGGTTTATAGACTAGGTAGCCAGAATGACTTTGGAAAATACCAAAACAGGCCGCTAAAAGTGGCATTTATATATCTTAATGAGAGGGATCTAATGGTAAAAAATTAACATAAGCTAACGTGATTTAATAGTTGGATCTATAAGTCAATTGAAGCTAGACCACCATAGAAAACCTGGAAGCACTGGACGGCGGCTCCTTCTTAGTATGGGACGTCTACACAGTGCGTATCCACGATCCCACTCTGAGATTTTCGAACCAAGGACCTATTGGAATCGCGCTCGAAGGCTTATTTCAGATCACTGAGCCGGCATCCTACGGCTAACTTCAATCTGAGCCACAAAAGTGTTCAGGAGGTTCGTCCGTCAAGATGTGTCCCTTGAGAGCCGCGTCCAAGAAATAACTAAAGCTCAGATTAGGTACAGGCAGAAATGATCTTACAACTGCACACTTTTGGGAGTTGAGTATACGGAAGAGAATCATGCCGAAGACATTTAAATAGCTTTTGTCTCTGTTACATAGGTGTTTGAAGTTTTCTCAATGGGGGGCCGGGGCCAGGTAAACAGACAGAATATACCAAACCCAGTGTAGTTGCCATCACAGAAACTTGGCTGACACAATCTGTAGATAGTAAGGAACTTTATTTTGAGAGTTTCGAATTAGTAAGTGCTGACAGAACCCAGAGGTCGAAAGAAGGTGTAGCACTTCTCATTAGAAATACTTACTCGTTTGCCGTTATTGATAATGTATCGCATGAAATTGGAACGTGGGAAAGGACAGGAGCCACTGGTTTGTTTGGTCCATTGAGTTCCAAACTACGAGGTAGACGAAGTTTTGCCAGACGGTTTTAACACTGATAGGTTCTCACTTCTCGTTTTAAGAGGAGAGGAATGTTTAAGAAATTTAGGTTACTGGGTAATGACGAGACAAATCTCAATATTGGAAAGTCCGAAGTATTTGTGAATGAACATTCCACTCGTCAAGAAGATTATATGAAAAAAGCTTGTAAGGAAGTATATAGAACACCCAAATTGTTTTTATTCGCACAAAAATCAAAGAGCTAAGATCAAAGGTAGGATGCCAGTAATATAGGCAGACAACAGTGATGAAGGAGGATTATGGTGGAGCTCAGATATTACCAAATTACTTTGGCAATCTATAAATCGTGGAGATGCTCTACCCTTCAGTTCATACAACCCCTCCATACACACTATGAATGTCGTGACCATCGAAGAAGTCAGTGTCTTCGGTCTGTCAAATAAACATGATATGGGTAGATCCATAAGACCCGATAAACTTCACGTTGGATTACTAAAGAAACTGTCAAATTTTGTTATAATTCTCCTAAGTATATATTTTAATCCATCTGTAAACCAAGGTAGATTACTAAGGCACTGGAAGAATGACACATTAAGTCCTGTCTTCAACACAGATACGAGACGAAAATGGCTTTCCTAGTCTCCTATCATCACCGATTTTGTTATATGCGATATGGGAAGCCAATATGAAGTAGCCTGGTGGAAAATTCAAATGATAGCAGTCAGAAGTGGCATAAAGGAAAAGTTTGTTTCATTGATGTTCAAATGGGTCAATTTCTCGACGATAGACTGGTATATATATGGATGAGTATTTGCGTATTCCATTCGGTGGTTCTAAACACTTTCAGACTCATTTTTGTGTTCCTGATCGGTTAGGGTGGTTGACTCATAGCACAATATGTGTCAGTACCGAATCTTTGAAACCGCACATCGTAAAAATGAACTTGTTTATTGCTGGCTTACGACAATCACAAATGCTACAAATAACAGTAAGTTGACGATATTTATCTATCTAACGTTAGGTACATAAAAAATTGTTTTCGAGAAAATACAACTACGAATGTTAGGATTCATCTTTCTGAAATTTCTAAACAGCAAATAAATTTCCGTTTTGATTCAGTTTGCATTTGACGAAACACATGTTATTCATCCAGACTTTGTTTGTCAGTTTAATTTCATCAAGGTGACAAACAAGCGCTTATTTGAGATATGGCTGTTTTGTCGTTGTTTAACCCCTTAATACTGGAACATATCAACTGTTCTGAGTTGATCAAGAAACATGCAGTGCATATCAATGTTCAAAATCCAAAAGTGATTCCGAAAATACGACCTTTATTATCATCGGATTATGGTAATTTCATAATTTCGCTGTTGACTGCTAGATTACCTTACTTTATTAAAACAGTTAACAGTAGTTGGAAAGATAGAAAAAAGGGAATTCGATGGTAAAAAAACACTGAAATTAATATTCTTCATTAGAAAGATTTTCTTCGATGGCTTCTTGCTTGGATACATATTTTATTGTAGTTTTAGAAGACGTTTCTACAAGCAGAATAATTGGAGCAGCCACCCTCTTCATAGAGTTGAAGTTCATTCACCAGTGTTCGAAGGTAGCTGTAAATTTACTTTATAAGTTTTCAGCGTGGTCATATTGAGGATGTTATAGTCGATTCCAGATTTCGCGGAATGAATTTTGGGAGATTGTAAGTTGCTTTATCACTTTATATATATATATATATATATATATATATATATATATATATATATATATATATATGCGAATGTGATAGATTTTAAGTTATATGGCTTGATGCTTTCAAAGTTGGTCGCGAACACCGCATGGATATCAACTGGACTGTCTCTGCCTATCAGCTTGACTCAGACCAACAGTCAATGATCAATCGGGCTGATGTATTGCTTGGTTTAGACTCATCCACATTTCCTCCAACCTATTCATTTTCTAGCTAACACTGAATTAAGTGTTAAGCGCTAATTGGGCACACATTTTTTATCCCGTCACAGTTGATGAAACCCATGATCTCATTAACCGATGTCTCATCTTTACCTACTACTCTATGTCTAAGATTACCATTACTCAATCGACTGTTCCACCTTATCTTGACAATGCTGCAAAGGCATCTGAGTTCAAATGCTAGTGGTTTACCAATTTTCTCTACTTTTGAAAGCTGTATTTCACAAACGTAAAGTGAAATAGAGTGGTCTGGAGTCCAATGTACTCGTCCTTTGGTGGTAGAAAGACATTTTTCTTATGATAAATTAGTAAGAATCAAGTGAGCTCTACAAATCCACGCTCACCAAGTCACAAGAGCTGATGAGACTTACAAGTAAGGTGGTCAATGTGCTCAATTAGTTCATTCCTTATAACCAATGTAAAAATTGATACAGATAATTACTGAAGCATTTTTTATTCAGAGGGAGAGGAACGCTCCGCAGCGTCCTTTAGGATTTCAATAAAGGTTTTGAAGTGCTGCCTTAAGACGCATGAAAACTAAACAAACATGCATCAGATTCGTAAGCTTCTGTGAGGAGAAGCGCAGCTCAACGACCCGCGAAGCTGGAAGCCAGCACAATTGAGTAGGTAACTAGTTAGTAATCTCTTCAGATGTGTACAATATCCAACAGTGAGCCAAATGCACTACTTTGTTTGTCCCACTGATATTATAGATGATAACACCTTGAACCTCTTTTATGCTACAGAGCTTTAACGTATTGTTAACTTACTTACTTACTTACGCCTGTTACCCCTCGTCGAGGAGCATAGGCCGCTCACCAGCATTCTCCATCCAACTCTGTCCTGGGAAATTCTTTCCAGTTCCTTCCAGTTACCATTCATCTTTTTCATATCTGCTTCTGTTTCCCAACGTAATGTGTTCTTTGGCCTTCCTCTTTTCCGCTTCCAAGTTAGGGATTGAGTCGTGATGCACATTGGTGATTTCCTTAATGTATGTCCGATCCACTTCCAACGTCTTTTCCTTATTTCCTCTTCAGCTGGAAGCTGGTTTGTCCTCTCCCATAAAACGCTGTTGCTGATAGTATCCGGCCAATGGATGTTGAGTATTTTGCGTAGACAACTGTTTATAAATACTTGTACCTTCCTGATGATGGTCGTAGTAGTTCTCCACGTTTCAGCTCCATACAGTAGGACTGTCTTGACGTTCGTATTAAAGATTCTGACCTTGAAATTGGTTGAGAGTTGTTTTGAGTTCCATATGTTCTGCAATTGTAGAAATGCTGCCCTTGCTTTGCCAATCCTTGCCTTTACATCTGCATCCGATCCTCCTTGTTTATCAACGATGCTCCCCAGGTACGTGAATGTTTCCACCTCTTCCAGAGTTTCGCCATCAAGCGTGATTGGGTCGGTGTTCTCCGTGTTGCATTTGAGAATCTTGCTTTTTCCTTTGTGAATGTGGAGGCCTATCGATGCGGAGGCTGCTGCTACATTTGCTGTCTTCATCTGCATTTGGTCGTGTGTATGAGAGAGGAGGGCTAGGTCATCTGCGAAGTCCAAATCATCTAATTGATTCTGAGCTGTCCATTGTATTCCGTATTTCTCTTCAGATGTCGAATTCGTCATAATCCAGTCAATCACTAGAAGGAAGAGGAATGGGGAGAGTAGACAGCCTTGTCTGACTCCGGTCCTTACTGGAAATGCATCTGTCAGCTGTCCTCCATGCACCACTTTGCACTGTAATCCATCGTATGAGTTTTGGATAATGTTGACGATCTTCTGAGGAACTCCATAATGTCGAAGAAGTTTCCACAATGTTCTCCTATCCACGCTGTCAAACGCCTTCTCATAGTCGATGAAGTTGACGTATAGTGATGAGTTCCACTCAACTGATTGTTCAACGATGATTCGTAGTGTCGCAATCTGGTCTGTGCACGACCGATCCTTACGGAATCCAGCCTGATGATCCCTAAGTTCGGCGTCTACTGCGTCTTTCATCCGATTCAGCAGCACTCTGTTGAAAACTTTTCCTGGTACTGATAACAAACTGATGCCTCTGTAGTTCTCACATTGGCTCAGATCTCCTTTCTTTGGTATCTTGATGAGATATCCTTCTTTCCAGTCCGTTGGCACTTGTTCCTCTTCCCAAATCTTTTTGAATAGAAGGTGAAGCATGTTTGCAGTTATTTCAATGTCTGACTTCAGTGCTTCTGCTGGTATATTGTCAGGTCCTGCCGCCTTCCCACTTTTGATTTGTCTGATGGCCATCTTGACTTCTTCGATCGTTGGTGGAGTGACATCTATTGGAAGGTCAGTGTGGGCTGCTTCGATGTTCGGTGGATTCGATGGGGCGGGTCTATTCAGCAGTTCCTCAAAGTATTCTGCCCATCTTTTCCTCTGTTCCTGAATCTCAGTGATTGTCTTTCCTTCTTTGTCTTTGACTGGTCTCTCTGGTTTGCTATATCTCCCTGCCAATTTCTTCGTTGTATCATATAGTTGTTTCATATTCCCTTCTCTTGCAGCTTTTTCGGCCGTCGTTGCTAGTTCTCGCATGTATTTCTGCTTGTCGACTTTAATGCTTTTCTTCACTTCCCTGTTTGCTTCTGCGTAGTCTGCTTGTGCTTTGACTTTCTCTGCTCGTGTTCGGCTGTTGTTAATTGCTAGTTTCTTGTTCTTCCTTTCTTGAATTTTGTCCAGGTTTCCCATAGAGATCCATTCCTTGTGATGGTGCTTCTTAGGACCAAGAACCTCCTGACACGTTGAAGTTAGTGCTTCCTTTATCCCTTTCCAGTTGTCCTCCAAAGTAGTTTCTTGTTCTTTCAGTAGATCCTGTAGAGCTTGGAACCTGTTGTTGAGAGTTATCTTGAATTCATGGAGTTTGTCAGTATCTCGAAGGAAGGCTGTATTAAACCTTTGTAGTGCTGTTTGTCCAGTTGTCCAGTCTTTCTTTAGCTTCAGTCTCATCTTGGCCACAACCAGGTGGTGATCTGAAGCTATGTCAGCTCCTCTCCGGGTTCTCACATCTTCCATTGATCTTCGGAATTTTTTGTTGATACAGATGTGATCAATCTGGTTCTCTGTGGTGTGGTCCGGTGAGATCCATGTAGCTTTGTGTATGCGTTTGTGTGGGAATATTGTGCCGCCTATAACCAATTTGTTGAAAGCACATAGGTTTGCAAGTCTTTCCCCATTTTCATTTCTCTCTCCTAGTCCATGTCGTCCAATTACATCTTCATATCCTGTGTTGTCCACTCCAACTTTAGCATTTAGATCTCCCATAAGGATGGTGAGGTCCTTTCGTGAGCACTTTGCTATAATTGATTGCAGCCTTTCATAGAACTGATCTTTATCATCGTCGTTGCTATCATTGGTGGGTGCATAACATTGGATAACATTCATTGTGATCCCTTGCTTCTTTGTTCTGAATGATGCTTTGATTATCCTGGGTCCATGAGATTCCCATCCCACAAGTGCATTTCGTGCTTCTCTGGACAGCATTAGAGCAACTCCCTGAGTGTGTGGCGCATTTTCCCCTTCGTGACCGGAGTACAGCAGCATCTCTCTTGTACCTAGCCTTTGTTGTCCAGTTTGTGTCCAATGGGTTTCGCTGATTCCGAGTACTGCCAAGTTGTATCTCCTCATTTCCATTGCTATTTGGCTGGTCTTTCCTGTTTCCCACATTGTCCGGACGTTCCATGTACCTATAAAGAGTGTTGCTCTGGTTGTTAGAAGGTGCATCGGTCTCGTGACTTCGGAAGAATTTCGGCTTTCATCATGAGACGTCATAATTATTCCTTCAACTCCCAGGGCAGAGTTTAAATGGTTTGGATTATTTTTTCTGGTTAGCGTTTTTTTAGCGAGTTAGCTTTTCTACGGGATGGGGTCGCTAACCCCATGCCCAACCCTCCTCCTTTACCCGGGCTTGGGACCGGCAGTAACTCTAGAAGAGCTACAGGCGGAGTTAACGTATTGGTAAACAGTTAAAAATTACTGCTGCTGAGGTAAAACGTTATCAGTTATTGGAACATAAATAACAGTTATACCGCGATAAATGCTTAGTTACCTTCTCTATATTATGTCTAAAATGGTATGAAGAGAGTTCCCAGCTATTCCTTTCTGGCATTCGTGTACAGAGCGACGGACAATTGGAATCGAGGCGAAAATTTCATAAACAGCAGTTTCCGACTAAAAGGATGGAGCCGTTTATACGACATTGTGGAAGATCTACAAAAGTGCTTTTCAACTGTTCACATCAAAGAAAATAACATTTGTGAACGTAAGACGAAACTTATAATTAGTACTTGATTGTACGGCTTACTTGAGAGTGGTCTGCAAGGCCCAATAAGTGATAGTTTAATTCATCAGTCATACTAAGAGAGCTTTTGTCGACATGATGAAGAAACTTCGAGGCTTGTCTTCTCCATGCTGTTTCTTATAGTTGAACGTCAACACAGTTCATGGAGTCAGAAAATGAGGCGAAAACATTGCAGTTATTACAAACCAGTTTGACTACGTCTTAATACTTCATTCTTGGGCCAATGCCACGATGGAAACTAATTATGTTGTAATAATTTCTATTTAAACACATATTGACACAAAGGGGCGCCAAAATGAACATGTTCCACACAGTAAATAAGATTTTGATGAGATAAAGGAAGGTGGAGATAAAAAAAACAGAGGAAACAAGAATGGATAAAAATAAGTAAGATCTCCACCGGCTACTGTATTGCACTATCTCTAGAACCCCGAACAGGGGGCCGTGAAGGTCAGGCAGGCTTCAGTCCTTATACTCCGGGAACATGTCATATGCTGATCACCTTTGCTTTCTCCAACCAGCCCTAGGGTCGGTCAATGATGCATGGTTTGGGATTCGCTGGGGCATTTGCGTAATAATGGCTGGACGTAGCAGTACTACTCTTCAAAACAGCTTCTTAACATGGTTAAAACAGGTATTTCTAAACCCAATAGCTCAACCGTGCCACTAATGTGTATAAACTAGAACAATCATTCGATTAATATTGTCTGGAAATTTAGCGGAACTGAGTGACCGGGCATTAAAAAAAGAAGTGCACTCATCTATTCTTAGAACTAATTCTTTCTTTTTGTATTTATTCTTATTTGATTTTACGATGAACGTAATTTTTGAACTTGTAAATTAATGAGAAGTAATAAGTCTAGAATACTCGAACACCTATGAGGGATTACATCGCTGTCGTAAAGAAATTTTTATACATAACTCAGTGGTACAACAAAAAGCTGTCACTGTGATAAAGAGTAATGGAGTTGCCTAGAAAAATGATTATGTATTTACCAGACTTGTAATTTATCAGATAGTTGATAGTCGACAAGAAAACCCTGTTAGATCTAGGTTTTGTGCTAGTTAGCACTTATTAGAGAAGCGTACCAGTAATCTTCAGAAAAGTCATAGTCCTTCGTAGATTTGAACCCGCATTACCACTGAGTTGTTCAAACTACCTGTAGAACTGAAATATTTACACTCGATTGTCCAGTGAGTCATGATCAATGTTGTGTGCATATAGTGCTTTGATGCAAGTCAAATTCTATAGATCAGATTGAAATGCAGTTATTGGTCTAAGAAACTCAAAATCGTTGTCATTTGTCGACACACACACACTAAATATGTGAAGTGATGTAACTATAACCATTAACGAATTATTGTTATATTATTTGAAAAAAACATAAAGACCTGATAATTATCTATCTATTATTTCCAGACTTGTTGATACCCTGGTTCATATAGGAAAACATATGGGATGTTATAAAATTTCACTTGATTGTAGTAATGAAAAAGTTGGATTTTATGAAAAATTAGGTTTTCAATGTAAAAATAATATCATGTATATACGATTTGATGAAAATGAAAACTAATATGAACTTTTTGTATAAAAAAGAAATCCTAAAAACAATGAATAAAGTCTTTCAGAATATTGAACAATACCCGGGAAATGTTTTCAAGTTAGTAATAATAATAATGACAGTTACAAAATTCAACTGTTCTGTTATTTTTTTTTTTAAAAAAAAAGCACGGGTTCCTATTGACGGTACATTTTACTAATGTATATATATATATTAAAACAATTGTCTGTAAAATTTGCAACATCATTTTCATTATTACATGCGCACAAACGTAAGTACTATTATTACTACTATCATACGTTTTTGATGAGGAATCCTTTTATTAAATGTTAACACCACACACTATACACAATTAGATAGATAAAAGGTATTTCTGATTTAACAATAGAATAATGAAGAGAAAAACCAAAGAATGTAAATGAAACAAGTTCCAAGGATTTTTTTTAAATATGAACATTTATTTGGTATTTATATTTATTATCAAGAATAAATGTATCACTGGAAATCATTTCGACTTTAATTGAAAGACACCTGAAACATATGAATATTTATATAAATGATTTTAACAACGTTCTAATGCTGCAGTCCATGAATTAAATGGTGTTAATACACTGTAACCATCTAAACGTGATAATTCATCTCGATGTACTTGACTTGATTGAGCTAATTTACCAATAAGAATTGCTGCATTCCTTTTAGTATCTAATCGTTGACTTTCCTAAAATGTTAAAATATCAAAAGAAAAAAAAATCGGCTAATAGTATTAAAGTGTATTGAAACTAATAAAGTATATTTACTCTATATGACATTTTACTAGCTATCAATCAGTAACTAACTTTTTTTCTAAATTTTAACATTAAACAACAATATTCATAATAAAATTTGATTGAAACAATTAAAATCTTACCCCCCCCCTTTCCAGTCTAGTTGACCTATTCATTTTTATATATAAAAGATCTTAACATGCATATCGTGTGATCAGATTATTCGAAATGTACTGAGCTAATATATCATCACATAGTTCTGATAATCTTCTTATTACACTTGATATGCTGTTAGAGGTATGAGGGCAGCCAAACCAAAACATGGGATCAGTGCTTGAAGTCACTAACTTCCGGTTTGAGCCATGTTGGCAGATGCATACTACTTGTTTGGGGTCCGCGTGACTACCGTAACCAATGGTTGGAGACTCTAGGTGACATCACTCAGAATCGATCACAATGGCGTAGGTGTATACACTCTTTATCTTCCCTTAAACCTTAAAATTGCTTCAGAACTTTCTTCCTTATATACAACCTTTCTGTATATATTACCACCACTAAATTAATTACTTCTATGAATCCGGTGTTCATCTTGTTGTGCTAACGAGGTATGGCAACTTGGACTGATGCATATATGTGCCTGGTCCTACATTGTAGTTGACTGACTGACTCTTATTACACTATCGAAATTTATCAAAGGGACTAATTGCTTTAAAACAAAATATCTTATGTAAATAATTCACCTGACGAAAAATTTACACTAAACTTAGTATGTACATATTATAATATAAATATTATAGTAATCAAAATCAAAACAATAATGGTTCTTTTTCATTAATTATCTTTGAAATGACTATTATTTATTTCAACTTACTTGTATTAGTGATAATAAATCATATATTACTGAAGTACCTTGAAGATGTTCAGCTAATGGTGTATCTGAAGCACAATGTTGTAAGATTAAACAAACATTTCCCGCCAATGGTTCATCTCTAGGTGGTAATTGGTTTGATGAAACATTTAATTTACATATACTTGGTGATTGAAGTGTATATTCTGATAGTCGTGCACGAATAAAACGTGCTAAACGTCGAACACGTCGTCTATCATCACCAATTGCATAACGTAAACTAATTGAATGATTAGTTCCAAAAGCTAAACAACGAATACATCCAATAATTAAATGAGATGTAATATTGTTTGTTTCATTTTTTGACGGTGAAACATTTCCATTTGATTGTTGTTGTTGTTGTTCATCAGTTACGGTTGATGGATTGACAGGATTACGTTTAGAACACGAATCTAATGAACTATTATATATGGGAGAAAAAAAACACTATGAATCATAAATTTGCACGGGGATAACATAAAATTTTGGCAACAAAAATCTTGTCAGATGACTCCTATAGATTAGTCGTCAAAAATGTGAAATGTTTTCTTAAGTGACGAACTGTTCCAAATAATTTCATTGTCACGCTCTACAAGTTCAAGATTATTGTATTTCAAATAAAACAAGAAAGATTGATCCACCACCCAAGAGTTTTATTTACGGCGAATTCATTTTCAAAGCTAGGCAATCACAAATATTTACTTATTTCTTTCAAAATAATAATGATTGCAAGAATAAGGATAATAAGATTCCCTTTCTTTTACTAAATATGGTAATAGTGGGGTAAAATAAATAAAGGCATAAAAAGGTAAATAGAGAGCTGTCAAAAGCAGTTATCTTGCATCTTTTTAGCATTGTCAAATATTTGCTATATACCTGAAGATACTAGATATATGTGTCCAAAAGAAACTTGTACAGCCTCTTCTCCTACCATGACTTTAATCTCACAGTCATCTGCTTCCCTCCTATCTTCTTCTCTATAGACTTTTTACTCCCAACTGATTTGTTTCTGTTTCTATGATTCTCCTGATTACAGTTCATCTCAATTTCAACAATTTATCTTATCACGCTGAACCTTACATTTCATGATGAATATTCAAGCTTTCAATAACAGAATTATTATTAGTTACCCTGATAAAAAAATAACGTTGTTTATTTTACCTCATTATTATCATGTTTAGCAAAAAAATCTATTATCACTATTAAATTCACTTAGTATTGTTTGTTTGAATCTTCCCATTGATGTTTCAGGACTGCAACTGGTCAGTCTCTAATTGGCATATATGCATACTGTGCGTGTTGCCTCGATATAGCCTAAATTAACAAGCATTGTAAGCAAAGATGGATAGTGGCTAGCAGGGAATCCAGGACACGCGTTACTTCGTCCTATTTGGGACTCGTCAGCTGGATGCACATGCATCTCAGAGTTGATGTTCATTCTGAGACTCGAACCCAGTACCTTTCGCTTCAAACGCCATCGCGTTATCCACTCGGCCACTGAGTCCAGCTGATGAGTCCCAAATAAGACGAAACGTGCATCCTGGATTCCACTGCTAACCACTATCCATCTTTGCTTATTATCACTATTATTTCAGAAAAATAAGTGTGTATATTCATGATTGTACAGCTTTGAGAATGAATTCAACGAAAAAGAGAAAATTCTTCATTGAATCAATCTTTCTGAATAGTTATACTCCATATTAGAATTAGTCCAAATAAGACATACGTGAACAAGTAAATTAGACAAAATATTAAATGAGTGAACTTTTGCATTAGTTACTTATAATTAATCCGATATAATCGCTGAAAAATTCCCATCATATTAAAACAATTATATGAACGAAGAATATTCTTTTCAATAATTTCTCATCAGGTTCTACAATTATAAATTAATAATCCATAAAAGAAGATTGGCCAAGTTTAAGGCAGAGTACATCAATTGAAGAAACTGTAATATGTGAATCAAGGATTGTTTGTCATATAAAATAAGATCGAATCGTTAATGTTTTTGGGATGACTAATATGAAGTGAATTAAAATCGTAAGATAAATTATCAGAATATATATAGTTGACATGGGGGTGAGAGATAGAACAATGGGATTACAAATCGGAAATTACGTAATATGTAGAATTATATAAATTAGGTCAGATATAGTAGATAGGGGGTGGATGATAAATAAATTTCTATAAAAGGTTAGCAGGTGTGATAATAATAATAAAGATAATAATAAGAATAAGAATAATGACTGATAAGATGTGTAGATAAGACTAAGATATAGAAATGAACATTAATCAAATTAATGTCACCTTATTACAAAATTGATTATTAACAAGTTGACCCTGAAGTTGGCCAGGGTAAAAGGAGTGGCTGTACATATTTCTTTTGGATGCAGAGCTCTGGCTTTTTGAGGCTGAGGCAATTGCTATTCGGATCAAAAAGCCAGAGCTCTGCATCCAAAAGAAATATGTACAGCCACTCCTTTTACCCTGGCCAACTTCAGGGTCAACTTGTTAATAATCAATTTTGTAATAAGGTGACATTAATTTGATTAATGTTCATTTCTATATCTTAGTCTTATCTACACATCTTATCAGTCATTATTCTTATTCTTATTATTATCTTTATTATTATTATCACACCTGCTAACCTTTTATAGAAATTTATTTATCATCCACCCCCTATCTACTATATCTGACCTAATTTATATAATTCTACATATTACGTAATTTCCGATTTGTAATCCCATTGTTCTATCTCTCACCCCCATGTCAACTATATATATTCTGATAATTTATCTTACGATTTTAATTCACTTCATATTAGTCATCCCAAAAACATTAACGATTCGATCTTATTTTATATGACAAACAATCCTTGATTCACATATTACAGTTTCTTCAATTGATGTACTCTGCCTTAAACTTGGCCAATCTTCTTTTATGGATTATTAATTTATAATTGTAGAACCTGATGAGAAATTATTGAAAAGAATATTCTTCGTTCATATAATTGTTTTAATCCGATATAGTATTTTTTCTTAATATGCATTTTGTTTACAAGGTATATTGTATTATATTGATTAGAATTAGACATTTTATAATGGATTTTTTCTTATCCGTTTACTTAAAATTACAATTCCAATTTACAAATCACATATTTTGAACGTATTAAACTCATAACCTAAATAGAAGTTTACTATTTTAGAATTTAACATTGTCTGATCTATGTGTCCAATGACTTCTATATTGTCATTTGTAATTAAACTGAACATTTATATTACAAGTCTGAAATTCAGGTTGGTTGATTGATCTCAGTAACTATCACAACGATTGTTCAATTTCATCAAACTAGGTTAACTAAGACTTTAATTTGAAAATACCTTATATCGGATTATGACGATATGATCAATTTGATTTTCCACATCATTTGAGAAAAAAATAACCCGTTTGATGTTATTTCGATAGATACGTCAATATCTAATCGATACGTAACTAGAAAGTGAAGATATTATTCAGGCCAAAAACATACTTTCAACTAAATCACAAAGTTATCTTGCCAAAATAAAGTGTATGTAAAAAATTGTTGCCTATGTATTCAGATTGAGATATCTTCATCAGCCATGTAATAGAGAAAGTAAATAGATTACCTATAATTAAAGCAATCAAGCCCTTCAACAACTACATTTTTATAAATACACAAGCTATGGAAACGATATACATCAATCCCTTTCTAACTAATGTTTGCATATTTTATTCAATACAAAAATACTATCATTTAAATTATGAACCGAGCAATGTTAGATCACCATTAAAAACCTGGAGGCACTGTACGGCCGTTTTCTCCTAGCATGTAGGACTCATAAGCAGTGCGGACCAACGACCCTGTGCGAAAGACCGAACTCATAACCTTCAGTCTTGCGCGCGAACGCTTAACCTCTAATCCAACAGTGTTAGTATATAACATCAATTATTCTATAACATTACCTGACCATCTATTGTTTTCGGTAGGTAACTGTGTCACACTCGACACGATTTTGCTCCACTGGTCACAACTCACTAGAACTCGGGAAATTTCCTCTTGAAACTATAGTCACTAGTGATCACATGATAATTGCTAGTATGGGGTTGTGGAAATTCCTGATTTCAAGGAGATTCAACAAGCTCCACAACCACTTATGCACGAAAATAATGCTTCAACTTTAATGACTTATCAATATTCCGTTACTATCCCAAGCTAGGAAAAGATAACACAGTAACAACATCCAAAACTGAAACTTACCAGCTATCTAAAATTGCAAGAAGTAAACGAGTTCGTGGTGTTAAATCGCTAATTGATTCTGTTGTATTCTCTCCAAACCAAGATGTAAGCTAAATAAAGATAAAATTGTGCATCACTACTAATATTAACATTTGATAGAGTGGAAAAAGTTCTTTATAGTTATAGAACTGTACTGGTGTTTAAATTGATACAATATGCAGTAAGTAAGCAATAATAAATAAAAAAACAATTACTACTTTCATCATGGCTTAAAATCATCCGCTTAGTTGAATTTCTTTTACTGAATACTAACCAGGAATTTTCATTCTTTTATCTTATTAATACCTTTTTTAAACTAAATTTTTGGGGCGTTTTGTGACTCAACGTAGTCCAGTTTTTCAGAGAATAAAACTTCTTATGTTTACTTTGACATGATGATTGACCATACTTACTCTTTGCTCGATTTGTTGATTTCCATCTGTCCTATTGTAATATAAAATGTGACTAAAGTTGGATTAGTACACAGTTTTGGAAATCGATTTCATTGTTTGCGACTTACTATTAACTGGCACACTAATACTACTATTTTAAAAATCCGGAAAAAGGAAAACTGTCAGAAAAATTCACATTCATCAAACTTGATTACTCAATCAGTATCAACATTACTTACTTGATTAGTATCATAACATAGAGGTAATAATCTTCCAGCTAAAGCAACAACTACAGCTCTCAATTCTGGTCCATGACCAATTTGATCTAAAATAGTACCAATGCTATTCAGTAAAGAATTAACTAATTTGCTTGATGTTAGGCAAGACGTTGAACAATCATTATTTGAAGTATCTGGCAAATTGAAGCTATTGTTATTAGTCCCTATTGATTGATCCGATTGTCCCACATAAATATTATGTAGTAATCGACAGATTGAAGCAATTAGACGAGCATGACTTTATTGAAAATAAAAAATAGATATATAAACGCATAGATTAAATGACCACAGAAGTGAAATGGGTAATCCTTGGTGAAATATAAGTATTTTTACTTGAACAACTAACAGGAATTTAATGAAAGTATTAGATTTGACAGGGTGATTTAAATTATTTTAAGATGAATAAAACAATTTGGCTGATCACTTTTTTTGTCTCTTACACTCTATCTCATCAATCATTATTATAAATTCATTTAGTATTGTTTGTTTGCATCTTCCCATCGATGTGTTAGGACTGCAACTGGGTTCGAGTCCCAGAATGAACATCAACTCTGAGATGCAGGTACATTCAACTGACGAGTCCCAAATAGAACGAAACGCGTCCTGAATTTAACTGTTAGCCACTATCCATCTTTGCTTACAATCATTAATATAGTTTGGATGCATGTTGAATGATCTAGGAAGTTATTTATCGATCTTCGAGATATATATTATCATTTAATTTATTGATTCATTCATATTTGATAGTTAGAATTAAACACCACTACTAATAAACAACATATTTTTATTCATGGGATATAGTTATGAAGTCAATAATTTCTGGTTAATTATTTCGAGTTTGTCGATGACCTACTTTATCTACATTGATTCATTAGTCATTTGTTTTTGTTCTTTTGTATGTAGGCGTGTGTATGCGTGCAACATTATCCGATTATTACATAATCGGCAGTTTATTGATGTTAATTCTGTCGACATTTTATTTTCATTATTTATATTTTGAAAATCCAACTTAAAACCATAATTAAAGTGAACACATAGATTATAGCTATGATTGGAGCATAAGATACACTTTTTATCCTCAATCAGTCAGTCAGTTACAACGTAGGACCAGGCACATATATGCAGCAGTCCAAGTTCCCATACCTCATTAGCACAACAAGATCAACACCGAATTCATAGTAGTTAATTTAGTGGTGGTGGTAGTATATAAATTATAGGTTGTATATAAGGATATAAAATAGGAAGGAAGAAGTTCTGAAGCAATTTTAAGGTTTAAGGGAAGATAAAGAGTGTATATCTACGTCATTGTGATCGATTCCGAGCCATGTCACCTAGAGTCTCCAACCATTGGTTACGATAGTCGCACGGACCCCAAACAAGTATTCTGCATATGCTAACATGGCTCAGACTAGAAGTTATAACTCTGGTGTCTCCTCATTGCGGATAAATCTTTCGCCTTTTTACTTTTTATCCTATTTAGAACTGGTCGGTTGGATATTTACTTTTATTCTAGTGTTAATCTTTTCATTAGGACTTGAACTCAATACCTTTTGCTTTAAAGGTCTTAGGTGTTATTAAGTGAACTATTGAATCCAGACAGTCACTAGTTAAAATATTATGTCAATAGAGGCAAATTTAACACATGTCTACGGATTCACTTATCAGCTGTACTGAATTTATATTGAATTCGCAAATAAAGAAAACGATTGGCATGATCGAAGATAACACTCAGATTGAGACTGTAAAGTAGAGGTTATTATTATACTTTTATATGCTTTTATAAAGTTAATTATATATTTCGTAGAATCCATACAGTGAATAGCCTTCGGAAGTTGGAGGAAAAAATTAAAACTAACAAACAAATGAAGACAAAGATCTTTTTCTAAGAGTTGAAAATAAATATCAGATGACATAAAGCAGGTAAATACTGACTAGGTGAAGTAATGTAATCGGATAACGAAAAGGATTTTAATATGGGCTTCAATAAATGAGGGGTTCGAGATGAAAGGTTATGTAGCTGGGTGTTTGGAACTCACGTTACCAATACTTGCTAACGAGTAAGCAGATAAGAGTAATTCCACTGTTAAAGAGATGATAGCTGTTAGATTACAGTTTCTGTCGTTTATGTTCGGAAATGCGAATAAGAACCCATTTTTCATTTACTCCAATATATGCTTTTATGCAGAATTGTGAACTGGTATTCACCAATGGTAAGTTGTTCGCTTCTGATTGTCTTTGTAATAACTGGTATAGGGTTCAAACTACTTCAGGTGTTACACAGATGATGACAACTCATGAACCAGCTGAATTCGTACCATTCCACGACAATTGTTACTTTTGTGTTCTATTGAAACTTACGCAAAGCAATAATTAAATAAAAGTAATTTAAGAAAAACTATACAGTTAAGATCGTTTATTTGACGTAATTTCATTGCCAGATCATAGATTTTAAAAGTACTTGTGACAAATAAGGGAGGTTTATCACAAAATGGTATTAATAGAGTGAAATTCGCGAAGCGAACGACAGACAAGTTCAATTCACTTCACAGATATTCATCAGTGCAAGATCAAGTCAACAACTTTTGGAAATGATAATAAATGACACATTCGTAGCTTATCATTTATCATCCTGTAACCTAAAACAATTAATGGTAAAAATGAATCATTCTTCAGTGTCATCATCAATGGAGGTCCTACTATCCTCTACTATATTATCAAATATAATGCAATCATTAGTGGCTCTCAAAAAAAGATGAAATACACCTTAGTAAAGGAGATTAATGGAAATGTGGTAATAAGTAATAATACAAGTTAAAATAATCGAACAAACCTAGCATCACTCAGCAGTGGGACATGATACGAAAGGCAATTAGATAATCCGAATAATAAAGCTTTACGACTTTGTAGGATAGTTTTTTGAAAAGTACGATCTTGGCAAGCATTGCCTAAACTGTCTAACAAAGTTGCAAGACACTGGCATGTTGTCGATGAAGGTTGATTGGTATTAGTCGTTGGAGATGAAGAAGTTAAAGCAGACTCAATGACTGACAATAAACCTTGTAAACCATCACTAGAAGATCGAGCAAGTATCTATAAAGTAAAGGATATACACATTTGTTTAGGAAAAACTATTGGTATTAAACGTAATGAATTATATTTCAAGTGAATTACACACAGAAAAATTCGAATAACACACTTGGAAAATTAATTGATTGTTTGCAAAATAATCAAATATGGGTATGGGTTTTAAAAATTATGCTTGTTAACCGATAAATTCTTCAACTCTACTTTTTACCACTGATCATCGTATAATAATCAAATACAACTCGTTGACTATGCTTAATGCTCATTCATTTCTTCAAGAAATATTGCAATATTTATTTAAACAGGAGATGATAAGTAAAATGATTCAGAACCAGTTACAATGGTCTAGGTGCATTTACACGTCAACAAGGTGTACTTGCAATCTTGAGGGAACTCATGCTGGATACGAGACTCAGGCATGAGTCATCCTGCTTCCCAGTGATGCGTCGCCAATGAGCTAGTGGGACAGTCAGTCAATCATCAACATAGTTTGACAGATGAGTGTAGAACAAAGACACTATACCATAATAGAACGAGATGAAATTAAAATGTATGGAAAAGTATGTATGAAGAAATACAGGAACTGAAGACCGATGAAAAGATGAGTGAAGGAATGTGAGCAACCGTGGGCAATTCTAAACCATTTCATTCAGTATCTTCAATCACTGGTCACGGTTATCGTACGGATCTCAACTAAATTGTCTTCATCTACCAAAATGGATCAGTAGAACAGTTAAACCTCTGCTTGACTGACGTTTTGTTTCATTTTTAGATGCTCCTAGGTCTAGTTCCATCTACTCACTCTCACACAATCGGTATCTATTACTTAATATTGCTTAAAGTAACACTAAGTATACAGGTCACATATAAGAATCTCTGAAACGTCTAATATTACTGTGTAGTTTTAATAAGATACTAATGGGTGTTTTGTATACTTGAATTGTTATCAGCGTTGAGGAACTTGTAGGGAAGATAATTAAGATGAAGTAAGAGATAGTATGATAATGAAGACGACAGTACTCAGATAAATTAGACAGGAGATTTTATAAATCAATTATTTGGACATTTAAAAGAACTTTCAATTGTCAAGCAAAACGATAGTTTTAATTAAAGTTTGATCGCTGAAATCTTTACAAATATAATTTCTTACCTTATGTTATTTAGATATTTCGCATTGAATTTGAGGATGACACTTAAAAACTTATATTTTCAGTAGCTAATTAACAAATGACATTCCTAATCTTTTTCATAAATAGTCAAGGGATTACTCGAAATCAATTATCCTAATTTATTTACCAATTATTTCGCAATATTCAGTTCATTTTCGCTAATTGCATAGCTGAGTTAATTTGAGTAATAAGGTGAAAATTCACTTATTCACAACCCAATAACTACTGTTCACCAACCAATCTTTTATTTTAATATGACAAATACTAAACAAACACTTAATTTATTCACTTGAGTAGTATAAAATAATAAAATAAAATCGGCTGTCATAGGCCCAGATAATAAGAATCTTTGATGTCACATCTTTTCTATTACTCCTATTACTGTAACTATCTCTACTATTCTGGGATTCGCTCTAACAATTTGATTTCGATGTGCTAATAAGGTATGGCAGTTTAAACCGATGTACATACATACTGAATTCTGTGTTACAACTGACTGATTGATAAGAATCAGTGAAAACGTAAATATCGGTGGACATGGAGGGTCCACCTAGGGGAGTTGGAAAACACTGATTCCAAACCAATGGTGTACATGGACTCCAGTATACTGAAGGGACAAATGGAGCATGAACCTATCGTTGGTCACCGACTACCATGGGGATGCATCGCCTCACGATGCTTCACTGCCTTGTGACTTGGACTTTTAGATGAAAGGCTTCGAGTGTGGTCTCCTAAGAAAACCACCTGCTTTAGTTTGGGCACCTGGGGAGTATCACAGCCCTCACACAAATTGAATAAGATTTGTGTGGCGCATATATATTTCGGTGCCCCTTTGTACCAATATTTATGTGCTTAAATAATAATAATAATAAAGAGTAAAGCTGCATTATCTATACGTGTAGTCAATCTTTATAGTTTCTTAAACCAAAATATAGAATTATTCACACGAAGTTAATGACCAAAAATACAAAATCTTATCAATAAATAGTAGTTTATTACTTATAAAATAGTCGTGCGATTTGTGAAATACAAATATGAACAGTTTACCAATATATAACTTTGATTAAATGTCACTTTTGTAAAATTGTGACAAACATATATATTAGTTTTAATTTAACTGTGTGTGCTTGGATGGACCTATATCTTTCAGTACTGTTAACAACAAGATTTAAACAGAGTATCCACGGTAGTAAATAACAATTTTCAGTTAGTTGTTAGTCATAAGGAACACAGAATCTGGTACATATATAAATGTATCAGCCTAGTTGTGAACAATTTAAAATTGAAATAAGTGATTTCACACTGAAAATAAATGACGTAATATCAAATCTAATTGGTTCTATAGATAGTAATATAAACGATAAAACACCACTAGTTACAATAAAAAAATTAGTTGTAATATATTCAAATGTCTACAATTCATTGGTAACTGGGGTAACAATCTGTGTGATATTTGTCTAATTCTTTAGTGTTGGTCAAATTTCATCGATCACGTTGCAAGATAATAATTAGTCTACAGTAGCTCGACATCATGGATTTCCTATCGACTAACTCTAACCACTTGATATAACTGAATATCAGGTAATTTTTATCACAAAAGACACAGGTCCACAATATATTTCAAATAAGTTGTCACAATATTAGCAAAGAATGTAACGTATTAAAAAGCATAATTATCAAAGGATTGCGCAATTATTATACGAGTATTTGATTACTTAGATAGTTTACTTAAAATAAAACTTAACAACCAATAATTTCACTTAATATTGCTTGTTTGAATATTTCCATTGATGTGTTAGGACTGCAACTGGTCAGTCTCTAATTGGTATATGTGCATACTGTGCGTATGGCCTCGATATAGCCTTAATGCACATATGCCAATTAGAGACTGACCAATTGCAGTCCTAACATATCGATGGGAAGATTCAAACAAACAATACTAAATGAATTTAAACTTCACCCCATCATACAAGCAAGTGGCTATCAGGACTCAGTGGCGTTTGAATCGAAAGGTACTGGGTTCGAGTCTCAGAGTGAACATCAACTCTGAGATACAGGTACATCCAGCTGACGAGTCCCAAATAGGACGAAACTTGCGTGCTGGATTTCACTGCTGGCCACTATCCATTACTGCTTAACAAACAATAGTTATCTGTTAGAAAGCTCAATGTTTCGGTCAAGTTTTTTTATTCTTACAATGAGAACAATAAATTATTCTGCATAAAAATAAAATGACACTTTCAGTAAATTTATCCTATATAAACAGTTTATTTACTGGACAATCTATACAACATGACCTCATTATATATATAAATATATACTGATAATAAGATTAATATTGAAAAATAAATAAATAAATTTTTCATTCATTACATTTTACACTATTGATGATGAAACAATCTTAAAGAAAGGTGAGAAAGTAGACGTTCTAATATGAATAGACAATATTAGATAGTAACAATAATAAAGTTGACATTCCAGACTTACTCTTTAGGTCATTCTTCATAATTTAATGTTAGTCAATAATAAGTACATAGTGAAGTAGACAAAAAGAGTAATAATAATAAACAGTTCAAATAACTTTTAGTCATTTTTTAAAAAACGTTTCATAATAGGTAGTTATTAACCAATGATATATTAGATCGCTTATTACAAGTGAATAAGATGAAAGAATTATATTTTAATTGAAGTTTAAGTTACCTTTAAAATAAATTACTTTTGTTTTATTAATTATCAGAAGGAGTTTTATTGACATGTAAGCATTTAGTATAGTTTTTCATATACTAACCAATCGGTTATAATTAACCTAGAGCCTGGAACAAACATGAGTTAGCTCTAGTTATCATACGACAAACATATAAACACGAGGAAATGAAATTAACAAGGTGAATAATGAACGAGTCAAAATAATACAGTGGGTAATGATAATTAGAAAGGTTAAACATTGAGAATATAGTTCAAGAATTATGAATGGATAGGTATATAGGAAGGATTAGTAACTGTAGCAGCCTCTGCATTGACATGATGTTCGGGTTTGTAGATTGTGATGACCGAATCTAGTTACATTAGCCGTGACACATGCATTCCGATTCTACCACGCTATGGAAGCTGTTTAGAGAATAAAAGTAGCAAACCTAAGGTTTAAAGACAGTCAAGCTGCTGACTATATTGAGATATGACAGCAGTGAAGTGTTTCTTTCAGATAAACAGCGTCTGAATTGATGCTGCATAATCACAACGAAAGAGAGGTCAGGAAAATTCAGCCTTAGAAAACAGCACATCTCACCTTTCCCCACGAACTTTAGTCGCCAGTGGGGGGATCTGAAAAATGTGGATGTAACGCATTAAAAATTACAAAAAAGTCATGCATGGTCGACCTCAAAGAAGTTATTCCTCGGGTTCTGGGTTTACGCCTCCACATTTTCAAGGTCATCACTAATCCGGTTTCAGTCTTAATTCCTTCAAAAGGAAGTATTCTTCCACAGGATGTGCGACAGGAAAGTAACAACCTCCCCCTCGCACTCTTAACAGCATTAAAGGAATAACTTGTTCACTGAGTATAACTTAACATACTTCGTAGTGAGGCACATCATCTGTATATAGGCCAGTTTTTTCAATTGTCTGTTACAACCGAATTAGATGGAACCGTGTTTAAACTTGAGGCGTCCTTGTTAGCTGAAAACTAAGTACTTTAAACGATAATTCTACACTGCACTAAGAGTCATGAATTTCCAATATTTGTTATAACGGAAAGTCATTTGATTCCAGAACCTTGGGACTACGGAAATTTTCGTACATATCCCTAAGTAGCTAGAATCTCAACTTATATAACGTTAAAAGCGCGCCAGTTTTTTTGAGCAGCAATCATATTATGTAATATGTAATGATAAACAATGATAACCTAGAAACTAAGATACACATCGCTAATAAATATGTTGCAGTCAAATCAATGTGTAATTGGCAACTGTCTGGAACGTCATATTAGTACTATTAAGATGTTAGGTGGTAGTTCATAGGAAAAAGAATTCGACTGAGGTTTTATTTTAGTTGATACTCGACAGCAAAGCGTCCCTGCAATCTTGGGAGGAATGATGCCCCATATATATATATATATATATATATATACTCTTCATACTTATTTTATTCACACTTACAAGGAATCTTGAACTTTCTGTTAAATACTCCAAAATTTGTGCAGCTTTTGTAGCACATACTGAAGCTATTGTCGATGAAATTAAATTGGATTTAGCGATGTCTACATTATTACTATTTGTTGTATTAAATAATCCAGATGATGCTGATAAACGGCCAACTAATCCACGTGCTGCATCAGCTAAACTTGAAATATTTGTTGATGTTAAAGTTGGAGAATTCACTTGATAAGAATTTGACATTGAAGTGGATAAACAACTTGCTAAACTTGTCAGAATAGGACCAGGTCCATACATATCCAATAAAGATTGTCGACCACTTGGTAAGGAAGTTAAATTAACCAACAAATTACAAGCGGCTAGTCTAAGTTCACCGAGAATATGTAGGCTTCGTTGTTTTTCCATAGTTAAACTGTCAATTGACAAAAGTTAAATATTCGTTATTCAGTTTATAGAGTTACAAAATTCTTACAATAAAAGATATCAGAAGAGGGTTTTGTGGAGATTTTAGTAATTTTATAGTTAAACTCATGAGTCAATTGAATCTGGACCACCATGAAAAACCTGGTAGCACTGGGCGACTGTTATATCCCAGTTAGACATTACCACAATTGGATGCCAGCTCAGTGGTCTAAAGGTTAAGCGTACGCGTGCGAGACCGATAGACCCTGGGTTCGAGTCCGGTGGGACGGGGTCGTGGATGCGCACTACTGAGGAGTGCCACACTGAGAAAGAACGGCCGTCCCATGCTTCCAGGTTTTCCGTGGTGGTCTAGCATTATTTGGCTCATGAACTCAACTATAAAATAAAAGATATGTTAATTCCCACAATACTGTTGAAATGAATTGATCAGAGTACAGAAACAAAAGTTACTGGTTAAAGGTTTGTTAGAACTTTGATTATAACTCAAAAAGTCTTAATTTTATGGATTAAATTTACAAACACGGTCACAAGTAGCAATCATTAATAATGAACCAATTGTATGTTAATTAAGGGACGAGTATATTGTGCAGCAGTTCATTCTGTTCTACTTTACGGCTGCGGAAGGTGGCCATTAAGAGTAGAAGATACTCGTATGTTACTAGTATTCAGCCAAAAATGTGTTAGAAATATTGCTCATATCTGCTGGGATCACAGGGTAAGTAATAGTGAGGTTAGACACAGGGTATTAGGGAATGATGGTAGATCAGTTGATAAGGTTATTAATCTTCATCAACTGAGATAATTGAACCACGTATTAAGTATGCCTCAACACCGATTACCACGACACGCAATGCTGACTAGTGTTGGAGATGGTTGGAAGAAAGTTAGTGGCGGCCAAACTAAGACATGACATCAGTTCACAAAGTCACTAACTTCTGGTCTGAACCATGTTGATGGATACAAACTACTTGTTTGGTGTCCGCATGACTATCGTAACCAATGGTAGGAGACTCTGTGTGGCATGGTTCAGAATCGATCACAGTGGTGTAAATGTATACACTCAATGTCTTCTTTTAAACCGTGAGATTAAAATTACTTTATACCTATCTTCCTACGAACTAATTCTTTTTCTCTGTATCATATCTTTATATGCAATCTTTCTTTTATATATTACTACCATTGAAGTAACTGCTTCTATGGATTCGGTCTTCATCTTGTTGTGCTACTGAGGTGTGGAACTTGGGCCGATGCATGTATGTGACTGATCCTACGTTGTAGCTGACTAACTGACTGACAAAATAAAAATGTCGAAAATATGATATAGAGAAAGAAGCATATTATTAAAGTTAAAAATAAGTGGGTCAATTTGTCTTGATATGGAATTCAATAAGTATCAATGATAATAAACAGAGTAGTGAGTGTAATACGAAGACGAAGATGATCAGAATCTTGTGATATATTAGCGCAATACATTTCGAACAATATGATCACACATAATATACTTGTTAACAACATTTATATATAATTTTAAAACGTCAACTAGATATTCTTCGTCTTATTACATTATCCGAATCTATCAAAGGGACTAATTGCTTTAAGAGGCATGAGTTAACTTGTATGGTAATGCTGATATGGTGTGGCTACATTTTTAGTTATGAAAACTTGTCTACTTAATAGCATTTAAGTAATATTTTCACCCTATTCAAAATATGTCTGCAAGATTAGAATCTACAGTGAGGTGTACAAATTTGCTGAAAAAACTAAACTTGGTGAAGGTGACTGAGTACAAGTGAGTGGCAGGCTTTTTATCTTATGTTGTACACATAGTGAGGATGTTTTCTGATACAAAACGTCTAATTGTATGTGTGAATAAATCTATTTTGAAGATGGTATGTTTTAGATCCGTTTATTCGTGATATCAAAAAATACTTTAATAAAACGGGAACAATAAGATTTTTTCTACAATTGACTAGCAAATTGTTGTGCTGAAAGAGAATTTGGATGGTTGTTGTCCATAACTGTAGAGTCGCTGTTTCTCCGTTTGTTTGTGACCGCTTCAACCTCTAATCATAAATCAATTTATCTTTTCCTATCGGTCGACAGATTAGGTCAATTTCGATTTAGTGGACGATACCTGTAGCTTAATATAAGAATCTCGAATGATGTTTTGGATTCGCTAAGCTGTCATTACAGTGTTTGAAACACGTAGCACTGAAATAGGAGAAAGCCGTAATCGCACATAAATATGGTAGCCAGCTGCAACGTAGAACCTAGTACGTATGTACATCGGTTCATGTTACTATACTCCATTAGCACAGAGGTCAGATGGTCAGGACAAATCCCAGAATAGTAAAGGTAGTGACAGTATCAGTTGTAATAGAAAATATTGGGGATCAAAGATAAAATTTGAAATGTAAACTGGTAAAATAATATAAAAGCCGTGAGTAATTCAGAAGCTTAAATTTTGGAGAAAGACAAAGAATGGATACACGTGAGCCACTGCAAACCATTTTGAGGCACGTCATTCAAAATTTCTAACCACTGGTTACGATAATAACGCGGACTCCAATAGGGTAGTTTGCACCTATTACAACATGGTTAGGTTCAATTGTTTTTTATTTCATGGACGGATGCCATATTTTGATTTGGCTGCTCCTAGTTCTCTACCATCCCACTCCCACACTAGAAAACATCACCTATCGAGGGAGGCGGTGTTTGGAGATGCGCAAAACAAGTCTCAACCACCTCAGTTGATGAAAATTTACAAACTCATCAACGATTTTTCATTCTTAAGAAGTGCCATATTTCTAACTCCAGAATAGTTTATTTCGTGGTCCATAAGTATACGAGCAATGCCTTGAAGATACATGATTGAATAATAATAACATCCGAATATCCTCCATTCTTAAAGGCCATGTCTTACACCCAATAAGTAAGAAGGAGAGAACTGCTATGCAGTAAACTCATCTTTTGTTTGGCGGACAGATATCTCACCTACGTCAGTTAATAAAATCCAATGATTAATCCAAACATTAACCAAACCCATGAATAAAACAAAACAATAACAAACTTGACATTTTCTGATGATAATGACGAAGGTGTTATTGATGAATGAAGTGTTATTCGTTGAACAAACTCAGGTGATAAATTAATACAAGCAAGTGTAATTTTAATTAAATTCGGTTGACGTTCAATGAGTAATCGTTGGTTTTCTGCACAATTTGTTGTTAAATGATCTGCTAGATTAAGTAAAGCAAGCATTCTCTCAGATTCATCAAGTATTGAGTAATAATTGGTTTCATTTGCCCCATTATCTTCTTCTTTTCCACTTTCAGTTATGTTATTATTTTGAGTAGATGAACTCACAACATTTGACTGTTGTATTAACATTTCTTTTTCACAAATATTATCGGGATTGAAAATTTGATAGATTGCCTGAAAAATTCAATGATAAAATTAAAAATTTAAACTTATCTTGAAAGGAAACTGTAACTTGAATGTTTGAGGTTAATCAGCTAGTCAATTAGATTCACATTAATAAAGAGCGATAAAATTATCAAAAAGGAATTTAAGAGTAATAGAACTGGTAACAGTATCAATCAGTCAGCTACAACATCGGCCCAAGTTCCACACCTCAGTAGCACAACAAGATGAAGACCGAATCCATAGAAGCAGTTACTTCAATGGTAGTAATATATAAAAGAAAGATTGCATATAAAGATATGATACAGAGAAAAAGAATTAGTTCGTAGGAAGATAGGTATAAAGTAATTTTAATCTCACGGTTTAAAAGAAGACATTGAGTGTATACATTTACACCACTGTGATCGATTCTGAACCATGCCACACAGAGTCTCCTACCATTGGTTACGATAGTCATGCGGACACCAAACAAGTAGTTTGTATCCATCAACATGGTTCAGACCAGAAGTTAGTGACTTTGTGAACTGATGTCATGTCTTAGTTTGACCGCCACTAACTTTCTTCCAACCATCTCCAACACTAGTCAGCATTGCGTGTCGTGGTAATCGGTGTTGAGGCATACTTAATACGTGGTTCAATTATCTCAGTTGATGAAGATTAATAACCTTATCAACTGATCTACCATCATTCCCTAATACCCTGTGTCTAACCTCACTATTACTTACCCTGTGATCCCAGCAGATATGAGCAATATTTCTAACACATTTTTGGCTGAATACTAGTAACATACGAGTATCTTCTACTCTTAATGGCCACCTTCCGCAGCCGTAAAGTAGAACAGAATGAACTGCTGCACAATATACTCGTCCCTTAATTGATAGACGGATATCTCACCTTCACCATAAGTGACGTAATTTGGCAAAAATCAAACGAGCTTTTTGAATCCATGCAGAGATATCGTCAGACACCAATCCATTAGCGATGGTCAGACTTCCAAGATAAGTGAAGTTGTCGACGCGTTCGACTACTTCACACCCTATCGTTAGTTCAGGTGTTGACGCAGGCCAGTAATGAAGCAACAACTTGCATTTAGCGAGGGAAAAACACATCCCAAACATCCTTGCATTGTTACCCAGTGCTACCAAAAGACTCTGCATTTTATCAGCATCTTCACCAAACAGGAATATGTCATCTGTGTATTCCAAGTCGATAAGTGGACCTGCTGGAGGGAGATCAATTCCTGAAAGTTTAGTCGACATAAACGTTATTTCCAGCAGCAGGTCTGTGATGAAATTGAATAAAAATAGAGATAGGAACAGCATTGCTGGACGCCACCTGAGGTTGTAAAATCAGATGACAGTTCGCCATAAACGGTGACTCAGTCCAATTAAATTAAAATTATATTTCACTTTCACTACCAAACATCAATAATACATCCATTTTATGTCCTATATTGATTATACCATGGGAATTGACTTTCAACATCACTGGTCGCGGATTCGAACCCTGCTTTATATATTTCGGTTTACGGAAGCAAGTGAGGGCAGTATCACTAACCCTCACACATTGTATCTCAAAGCCCAGTATGTAAGTGATATATTGCATAAATTGGATGAACAATAGGGGAACCAGATTCAAATATGATGCTAAATTGTAAACTTGTGATCAAAGCAGTATTTCGCATAACCTGACTGAAAGTGACATTACTCTTCGTGTATTTATAAATTAAACTAGACGTTTATATATATAGATTCTTAAAATACTACAAAGTGTTAGCCCGGAATGTTCAATAATAAAGTTCGGGATGAATAACAACGGCGCAAATTTAGATAGTTATATGGTGTTTTATAACGGTGATCGGTTGGCCGATAACTAATGTGTGTGGACGTAAAAACTTTACTATTCATAAAATTCTAGGCACAGCTGAAACTTACATTAACTTCTTTATCCAGAAGGCTAAATCCACTTTTTATGCGGAAAATCGTTTGTAACTCGGACAAAGTTTCAGTGGACGGATGATTATCGCAATTGATAATATTGGAATCGTCAGACATTGATGAGTTATGTTGTGCACTTTTGATTTTCTTATTAGATTTCTTTTTTTCTGAATTACAGTTTAAAGATTCGGAAGGTCCAACTTTTGAGTCGTGAACTGTATTGTTTAATTCTGTGATTGTTGTAGGCTTAGTTTTCGGAGCATTGATAAAAAGACGATTCATATAGCGTAACCCTGCACTATAATATCTAGAATTTTGATTTCTTCGAGCTAATTGAGCTAGGAGACTTAAAAGTTGTTGGCTAAAAATGAAAGTAGGCATGTTTCTTGAGATGTGATTTGAAAAGTATAGTAATATTTACAAATGAAATTAACTGTGTTAATATTCGTTTAAGTTACGACATTATTACCATTATTATTATTAGCAATTATTGTTACAGTGACTTTTTTATCACTTTCGATTAGTGATTTAAGCACTTCATTTCTGATCCCACAAGGTTCCGAGTTTGAACCCCGTACAACTTACCTAGGTTTGAGTAGTATCACTAGCCATTACACAGAAGCAGAGTGTCCCAAAAATTAGTAAATGAATCTGTGCTTGACAAACGCAATTGCATTAAACAGTTATTATGAAATAGACGATTTAGGTTCCTGATGTTTGTACAAAATAAGTAATGAAATCACGAATAAATACTTTAAGAAAATATCGCAAAGCATTCTAGTTGAAATCTGACACATTTTTTGAATAAAAATTGGTAAAATAATAATACTTAAAAATTGCTAAGTTGATCATCAAAACTATAAATAAATTACTACAAGATATCGAGCCTAGAATTGTATGGTCAGTCAGTCAGTCACAACGTGAAACTTCGTACGTATGTACATCAGTTCGAGTTGCCATACCACATTAGCACAGAAATGCAGTTGTCGATTCAAATCCCATAGTGGTAGAAGTAGTAAGACTATAAGCATTATGTGGAAGATTAGGGTTTGAAGATGTTATTTAAGGAGTATAATCCAGTGAAATAAATTTGGAAAGAAAAAAAAGATAGAGACATGTAGAATTCAGATTAGAATTTGGCAGAACACAAAGAGTGGATCCACCTTCACCATCGCAAACGATTTTGAGCCATGTCATTCAGGGTCTGTAACCATCGATTGCTATCGTCTCACGGATCCTAACCAGGTAGTCTACACCTACCAACATGGCTCAGTTCACTTGTCAGTGATTTCATTTTGTGCCACGTTTAGGTCTGGCCGCCCCTAGCTTTCTTCCAACCTACTCCTACACCATAAAACATCGCACGTCGGGGCAGTCGGTGGTTAGGCATACGTAGCACTTGTTCCAGCCAACTCAACTGGTGAAGTTTCACTACTTCATCAATCGAATTGCCATCCTTACCTAGTAGTACTATACTCCCAGGTATTTAATTTTAAAAAAAATAGATTACGTGGTTCTGTAAGAACTAGTTTCTATGTTAGTGATGTCACCAAGTGCTCATTTGATGTAGAGCTGAACAACTCTGTAGTCTAAATACTTATTTGAGACATTCGTTTTATTTCGGTCTGAACGGTTCAAAAGAAATATGACAGATATACAAGTTAAATCTTCATAAGAACGACTAAATTATTGGTTTTTCGATTGACCTGCAGTAAATTTTATTTACGAACAAATGATGATCCGGTAAGGATACGATATACTGACGACATTGGGCGACTTATTATGGTAAAGGGATCGGAATTAGCCAAATGAGGTCACTTGAGCACAACTAGAAATGACCGAAAGGACAGCCGTATATCATTGGCTAAGAAATGGATCCACTTTCTAAGGGATATATATATATATATATATATATATATATATATGAATATTGGTTGGTAGCCTAATAGACTTCTTCCACTCTCTTATCTTCTCGCGTTTAATGCGTAGCACGTTGTGCATCAGCATCAGATCTCGGAAACCGCCCATAACACTTATCAACCAATCAGGAAACGCTACCTAGTTACAAAACAATACGAAGCATTGGAATAACAGTTATGCTCAGAATAATTAAAAGTTACATGTCAAATTATATCTCGTAATAAAGGAAATAGGTCAAGTTTACATACATATTAGGAGTCGAGCTAGTGTTGTGAGTTAAGGTCATCACCCCACAGAGTTTTTGTCACCAACTGACATCAGTTATAATGCAAAAGGTTTAGGGTTAAGTATTAAGAGTTAAACTGGAGTTTTGAGTTGGGTTTACAAACTAAGGTCAGAGTTTTCAACATGAACTGATATCAGTTATGATCCAATGCCTTGCCAACCATTTTTTACAAAATTGAGAAACTCAGGGTTAAGATCTACAGTAAGAGTAAGAAAGGGGGGAAATATTATCTAGCTTCGTTAAACACTCGATCATACAGTGAACCACAATGAAGTACTTTAACATACAATCTGTTTCAAGAGTAGTTATATTTTGTAATTTAGCTTAAGCTCCATGTAAAATTCACTTTTCAGTTGCATAATAGATATTTCAATTGATCTCAAGCGTTTAGAGAACCAAACGTTTTCAATTTTTATTTGGTTGATAAAAATATACACGTTATCTATCAGTGGACTTTAAATTTCGCGCAAAGTGCATAGGGCGTTATCTTAATTCTGATTAGTCAACTCAAGGCCATCATTAAAATACACTTTTAACGAGGATTCTTTCAATGACATGCGACTAAGAGGAATTTGAATAGACCTGACGTTTATCGCAACAACACTTAAACGTTATTAATCTATACGATAATGAAGGTAGAGGAAACGGGACTTTCAGGATAACATTATACTTCGTGTAGACGTCAAAAATTGAAATGGAACAACATTGCTTTTATATAGCCACGATACGAACTTGAAGCACATAATCAAGCAAAGTAAAAGCGGTAACGACAGATGTTATTGAGGAAATATGAATTACGAAACTCTCATCGAGGTTATACTTGAGAGAATGAACTAACATAGAGTGACAAAAAACTACATCAAATTTTGTTTGCACTCCAGATGATGAGTTTTTATAAAGCATGTCGGTCAATTTACTCACCAACGGAAATGAAATAAACCTATAACAACTAAAAAGATATCACAAAACAGTGGATACTTCTGATAATATTGTGATTACGAATGTAGAAACTAGACAATACTAACTTTAGGAGACGCATATAACTGAAAAGAGGGAACGTTAAAAGAGCTAAACTTAGGTTGCGGTGAAATACTAAATGATTCATAATTCTGAATGGATGAAACGAGATACATTAAAGAAATCAATAAATCAAAAATGATAGAAAACTATTAATCACACTTTCTAAAACTTGTGAACACAGTTTCATGTACCTTTATAATCGGGTTGAACAATGTATAACATGTGAGTCTTATTATTACATGCCAAATGCTTATTTTGATAAATTTACTCACACTTTATAATTGAACGACAAAAACAACAACAAACGCATTCACGTGAGTCTTCTCCACTAAGAACTACATTTTAAGTATTTCCGAAATTACTAGTGGTAACTGATAAATACTAAATATCAACAAGCTTTACGTGGGAGTATTCGAAAGCAGGTTTTAATAATAAGAGTGACGGAAGTGAATTTTTGTAAGAAAATTTTCTCCAGTAACCATGGAGTTTACATAATCACCAATTTATTCAACTTCATACTGAAAATTATTAAGAGTCAATATTATTAGATCTACGGTTTCGTTATATCTTTAGTATTGATCCGAAGGCTGTACTTTTGAATAAAACTATACAAGCAAGTAATTTTCACGATAAAGTAAGATTCTTTAAAAAAAATAGCACAACTGAACATCTCTAACGAACATCACTACTCACATGCCATAAGTTTATAAGAAACCATAGAAAATTCTAGGAAAACTGATGACATTTATCTGACACTCTTCAATGGCAGACATTATCATAGAACAGCTTAATTGAAAGAAACTAATGCTAAAATTTGTATTAAAGTCACATTTTGCAAAAACATATTTACTTCTTAAAATGCTAAAAATGAACACACAATATTTTAAGAAGTACCTTTTCGAAAAATTTAAAACATAGGTACTATCATATAACATGAATAGGGCGAAGTGAACAATCATTCGACGCCACAAACTCACTTTTGTATATCAAAGTATACACTTAATGGACTATTGGCTATGTCTTATATATACAAATGAAAAATGTTATCTTATAACTTCATGTCATGTGATTGGTGCTGTTGATTGGTTACTATTTTTTATTGTAGTTTAGTTGGGAATTGTCGGTGAATGTAATAGATCAAAGTCGACTTAGTCTTGTAAGCAATCATCAATTGATCACTTCATATTATTTCGCATCCTAATCAAATAATTAACCTTGTATCTTTTACTATGTCATACAATAAATCAAAAACTGTTTGCACCAAAAAATGTGAGAAATTGAACAATTATGGAGCAATCATACTAAACGGATTATATTATGGGTTAATGAAGAATCATTTTTACGTTTTAGTAAGAATTAAATTACAAGTCAGAAATATAAACATTTGGATGGCGAATTAGTGATTTAAAGGTCCCGAGTACGACCTCCGGTGGAGACATGGATTCGCAGTATTGAGGATCCCCCCATGCTATGAACAAGATGATTTTGGATGTCGTCAAAGGTGTGGAAACGATTATCACTTTCTGACTCAAACCGCCATGAAGGAAAATTTCTTCTTGACGGAACTGAAAGGGATTAGTAGTAGTCGTAGGGACCTCGTAGTTTGACTGTAGAGCTAAAGAGACAACTTCTTGAGGCAGGTAGCGCGCACGGTCTTTTTATGGGAATTTTTCATGTATTAGCTCAGCATTTTAAAAGGCCTTACCGCTGGAAACAAAAAACCGTGAGGTAAAGCGTGACATTTTTAGGATTGACTTCTTTTAACTCCAATTGAGAAGGTAGTAACTATGCAAATGCTGGCTTTTCTGAAGGAAACATTTTACTTCAATCGCACTCCGGTACGGTTAGCCGTATGATTTGACCATCACAACCTAGGTTGCTGCTTTTAGTTATACTGTTTTAACTGTGTTTGACTGTGTTACAGTCAACATAGCTTGATTAGGTCATCACAATAAATAATCCCGACCATTAAGTTAAGGTAGCAGCTACGACCCCATACTTGAGTGAAACAACTGTCATAATTTTTAGCCTACACTAGCAGTATATAAGAAACTACATAGAGTAGAACAAAGAATCAGCATAAACCTGATGTTAATGACTAATACTAAAAAGAAAAGAGAATTAGACAAAGACCACCAACCTAGAAGGGATATTATTTGAGTTTTCACTATTCACATTCAATTTAAAGCCTATAGCTGATTGGGCGAAATTTGCTTCAGCTTTTGCGTCAGCTTCTTGAGCAATTAAAGCAGCTTCAGCTTGTAAAACATATTCAATTAAATAATTTGGCCATTTTTCACTATTTGGTTTTGTCGATGTACATTTTTCAGTTTTTGATGATGAATAGTAACGAGATAATGAATATGCGGAAAGTGCTTCTGATGGTCGATTAAGTGACATTAATGCTTTACCACGATGTAAATAAACTTTAGCTAGACGAGGATTAGAAACAATATCACGATTATTATTCACCATTGTTGATTTCATATCAGAATTGAGTTCTTGAACTTCTGGGAATAGTAGTAAAGCAGTATCACAATCTTTTAGTGATAAATCAGGTTGACCAAGACGAAGATATGCCTGAATATTAAGAAACAGAACCAGAAAATAAAAGCATTAATGCAAGAACAACATAAGTGAATGTTTTTAATTGTAAAAAGGTTTCTAAAGTTAGTATTTAACCCTAAAAAAGTATGCCCAAAAACTTAACGAATATTGTTATTGTGTGGATGTATACATGTGTTTACGGTTAAGTATGATAAATGCCCATAAAAATCTCTGTCGGTAGGTCGAAGATAGTTTGATATCTTATGAAAAACTGTACAACGCTTGTTTTGGAACGACAGATGTTTGGTAATCCTCAGACCGACTGCAAAAGGAGAAATGCATATCGTCATAATTATATTATGACAAGAATAATGTTACAATGTTACCCGACCGTTGCTGCTACCTTGACGTGGTGGTCGGGCTTGCCTATCGTGATGATCCAATCGAGCTATGCTGGCTGGAACAATCGTTCCTCAAGGTCCTACCATGCCAGACAGGTCGGTTGAAGAGCGGTGAGACTAAAAGCAGCAATCCCAAGGTCCGAAGGCGAAGTCGTACTGCTGACTGTACAGAGGTGTGAAAGCAGTAAGGTAATGCAGTAATGCACACCTCGCCTTATCCCACGGATTTCCGTCTCCGGCGGTAAGGACTTTTGAAGAACGGAGCTAACACGTCAAAAATCCCCCACAAAAAGGCCGTGGGTCACGCTCCCAGGTCGTTAAGACCAATACTAGTCCAACTTCTCTTTCAGGTTCCTCAAGAAATACCCTTCCACGGTGTGGGCAGCCGGGAAGTGATACTAGCCCTCATACCCTTAACTGCACATGAGACCAAGTTGATCGCTTTCAAATCCTTCCTACACCTAATAACTCTGTTATCTCCACGACTAACCCTTCCCACGTCCTTTTATCACCTCGCACCGCTAGGGCAAACGATTCGAGTACACAGAAAGTTATTCCTGGTCTCCTGAAACCACGCTCTAAACTACATATAGGAACTTTTAATGTCCGAACATTGTGCCAAATAGGACAACAGGCTTCCTTAGCTAGGACTCTAGAATCTTACACCATTGATGTGTGCTGCGTCTCCGAAACGCGCATACAAGATCCGAGTAGTGTCATTCATTTGACCGCACCTAATCAAAATAAAGTTTCATCTCGATACACTCTTCGTGTATCTGGAAGCCCTGATGCTGCTTCCCATGGCCTCGCTGTAGTAGGTATAGCGCTAAGTCCTAGGGCAGAACTAGCTCTTTTAGACTGGATCCCAGTAGACAGTCGTCCATACGCTGTCTGACTAAACGGATCAGTAAGAACTCGGAAAGATAAGGAAACTCGTCGTTGCCTCTTCGTCGTCTCTGCCTACTCTCCCACTGACTTCAGCTCAGACGATATGAAAGATGAGTTCTACAGGAAACTTTCTGACCTTCTCCGAAAAGCTAGGCGTTCTGATGTAGTAATAGTAGCAGGTGACTTTAATGTTCAAGTAGGTAAACTAAGTGAAAGGGAAAGACATCTGGATGGATCTTATGGTGTGATGGCTCAAAGAACAGATAATGGCGACCGTCTGTTGCAGCTATGCTCAGATAACCGCCTATTTCTTGCAAATACTAACTTTAAGCATAAGGTAAAACATCTTTTGGCATGGCGACCACCGAATTCGTCCCAACGTTGGACCCAATTAGATCACATCGCTATCAGCCACCGATGGAGGGGCTCGATAGAAGACTGTCGCTCATTCTGGGGCACATGTTTAGATTCAGATCATGCTCTAGTACGAGCACGTATCTGTCTGCGTCTTACTGGTCGTAGGAAAGACACTGCAGGGAAGCCTCTAAGGGTTCTACTTAATGATAGGCAAGCTAAGAATATATTTCAGGAACAACTAGAAAAACAGTTAGGCAGCCATGTAAGTTGTGTCCACCCCGAGGCAGCGTGGAATGACATCTGTACAGCTGTGGAAACAGCGGTGATATCCGCTAGTAAGGTAAACCATAACGTTAGGGAGAAACAATGGGTCTCGGCAGCATCTACCGCACTGATAGATGCTCGTAAACTCATCCCACCTGGCTCTGAACATAACGAAGAGCGGAGTCAACTTAAGCGCAGGCTTATAAGAAGCCTACGTAATGATCGTGAACAGTGGTGGGTAGCGAAAGCAAGAGAGATGGAAAAGGCAGCGGCAATAGGTAACAGTAGGCAGCTATTCAGACTCGTTAAAGAAACCGGTATTAGGAACCCGAATATCAGTGAAACCATCTCAGATAAAGATGGGCATATTATTCATTCTCAATCCAGGAGATTGGATAGATGGGCAGAACACTTTAGGGATCAGTTCAACTGGCCTTCAGCCACACTTCAATTACCCACGATCCCCAGTCGTCCTGAATGGCAAATTGATGTAAGCCCTCCAACCCTCTGTGAGGTTGAAAAAGCTATAGGAAATCTGAAGCGAGGGAGAGCAGCAGGCCCTGACAAGTTTACCCCCGAGATTTTTAAGGATGGTGGTCCAGTACTAGCAACGAGATTGACTGAGGTCTTAGGTAGAATCTGGGAACTGGACGTAATTCCATCTGACTGGTCCCAATCACTGATTGTGCCAGTCTATAAGAAAGGACAAAAGTCCTCTTGTGACAATCACAGAGGAATCAGTTTGACTAACATAGTGTCTAAAATATTAGCTTCAATAATACTAGGTCGCCAAACCAAAGCTCGTGAAGAGCAGACTAGAGAAAACCATGCTGGTTTTCGACCTGGACGTGGTTGCATAGACCAGATATTCACCCTACGTCAGGTCCTAGAACATAGACACAAATTCAGACGTCCCACAATAGTAGTATTTCTTGACCTTAAGGCGGCATTTGACTCCGTTATTCGTAAGGTTCTATGGCAGTGTTTGTCAGTGAAAGGAGTATCAAAGAAGTACATTAACCTTATAAAGGCTCTCTACTCGAACACAACTGGTCGAGTTAGAGCCTATAGCGAACTGTCATCAGAACTGATTACCACAAGTGGCGTTCGTCAGGGCTGTCCACTCTCCCCATTCTTGTTTAACTTTGTCATTGACATACTTTTAGAGATAGCACTTTCATCAGCTAAACCTCCAGGAGTTGAACTTTTACCAGGAGGCTCACTTGTTGACTTAGAATACGCCGACGACATAGTTTTACTCGGTGAAGACGCTGACAACATGCAAAGTCTTATGACCACTATAAGCAACTATGCAGGCATGTTCGGAATGCGATTCTCTCCCTCGAAGTGCAAAATGTTACTTCAGGATTGGGTTGCAGCGACACCTGAACTAATGATAGGGAGTGAAGTAGTTGAGCGTGTAGACCACTTCACTTATCTTGGGAGTCTCATCAGCCCTTGTGGTCTGGTATGTGACGAAATCTCAGCACGGATACAGAAGGCTCGTCTAGCTTTCGCCAACTTGCGTCATTAATGGCGTAGGCAAGATATCCGTCTAGCAACCAAAGGACGGGTTTACTGTGCAGCAGTTCGCCCCGTCCTACTTTATGGCAGTGAAACATGGCCAATAAGAGTAGAGGATATTCGTAGGCTACTAGTGTTCGATCATAGGTGTCTTCGAAGCATTGCTCGTATATCCTGGGACCACCGGGTAAGTAATGCAGTTGTTAGGAAACGAGTACTAGGTAGGGATGGCAAATCGATTGATGAAGTAGTGAAACTTCATCAGTTGAGATGGCAGGGACACGTGTTACGTATGCCCAACCACCGACTGCCCCGACGTGCAATGTTTCATGGTGTAGGAGTAGGTTGGAAGAAAGCTAGGTGTGGCCAGACCTAAACGTGGCACAAATCAATGAAGTCACTGACAAGTGGACTGGGCCATGTTGGTAGGTGTAGACTACCTGGTTGGGATTCGCGAGATGATAGCAACCGATGGTTAGAGACCTTGAATGACATAACTCAAAATCAATTGAAATGGCGAAGGTGGATCCACTCTTTGTGTTCTCCCAAATTCTAATCTTCTGAATTCCTCATGTCTTTATCTTTTTCTCTTTCCAAATTTATTTCACTGTACTATACTCCTTGAATAACATCTTCAAACCCTAGTCTTTCGGATTACTGCTTATACTCTTACTACTTCTACCACTATGGAATTTGAATCGACAACTGCATCTCTGTGCTAATGTGGTATGGCAACTCGAACTGATGTACGTACGTACGAAGTTCTACGTTGTGACTTACTGACTGACTGACAATATATAAAGCGAATAGTTACTTCACTTGAAAACAGGACACAACTCACATAACAATTGTCATGATTTTGTAACAAATAACAAACTAATTATTAAAACTATCTACTTTTTTACGAAATAGGATGGCATGAAGCAGAATAAGACATCAGTAAAGTGAGAATATTAAGGACCTGTCTGAACAAAGTAATTCTGAATTTTTGACTTGATATGGATTCAACATAATAATAAAACATTCCCATACGCTTTACATAAACTTTTTAAGCTTTCTGCTATTAGAGACCTGTTAGTACCTTGGTGATGTATGGACTCTATATTGATTAATGTGGAATACATCTAAAAACAAGCGTACTGTTAGATGCTGCACAATTTTTGTCACATGAGAATTTTAATGAAATGTGATCTTCTGAACACATTGAGTGATATATGAATATGGAGAGTTATTCATACAACCCAAATATAAAGGAAGTTGCTTACAGACTAATCTGTGTCTTTGTTTAAGTTAAAAGTCAGTGGTAAATTAATTGCGTACAAGGACCATTTCACTTAACTTCAGAATCACATTAGTCCTGGTTTCTAGTTAATTTTATATGGAGGCACAAAGGATAACTTTCTTTTCATTTATGTTTCGTGTAGAGTAGGCAGAACATTCTAGACTATGATAAAATAATCAGCTAATTACAGTGATTTTTTAATACTTTAATACTAGGAAACATAACTAATGAAGTCAAAATACATTAAACGTTTAAGGGAATTTAATTCAAAGTATGCATTTTTGGTGTACGGTAAGATCACCACGTACGTACAACTGATAGAAAGTTGGTTTGTTGAATAATAAAATCAAATTTGAAAGCGATGTTGTGGATTTGTGCAGGATGCACAAAGTCAGTAATAAGAAGCAAGAAATAACACTCGACTTAAAATTTAAAGGAAGATAAGGAATGAAACCAACTGCAACACTGTGAGAGACTTTCGGTAGCCTTATCAAACGTCCCTAACCACTTGGTAGTTGGGAAATGCTATTCTGGAGTACTACTAGTCCAACAGTAAGGTCAATATGAACTTCTCCGAAGTAAGAAGTACAACTCATGGCATTAGTATTTTCTTCAACAGGCCCCCAAATGCCTGGTACGGCCGAAAGTGAGGAGAGTCCGCTCTCCCTCCCGAAATGCTCTCACATGGTCACGCGCATATAGCATCTGCCAGGGAAGTCCTACTCACTGACTTCTCGTGGCAGGGGATGTTGTTTACGAAAATGAGAGAATGAAAAGCGAATGTCCGGTGCTTTAACCGGGTTGGTGAACACGGAAAGTTTACCTAGGGGAGTTGGAAAAACCTGATTCCAAACCAATGCTGCACAAGGGCTTCAGTATCCTGAGGGAACAAATGGCGTATGAATTAATCGTTGGTCACTGGCTACCATGGGACTGCATCTCCTTACGATGCTCCACTGTCTTATGGATCAGATTTTTAGGCCAAAGGCTCTGGGTGTGGTCCCCTAAGAAAACCACCTGCTTCGGGCTGGGCACCCGAGCAGTATCACAGCCCTCACACAAATCTCATTCGATTTGTGTGGCGCATATGTATCCGGTGCCCCCTTGTACCAATATTTATGTGTTCAAATAAATAATAATTTCTTCTATATTTTCTATGCATGTTCATTTGATTTAGATAGACGAACCGTTTGCCGACCTTTGTATTGACATGGATAAAATCTTAAAGAAATGAAATGCTTTATTTGCTATATGATGGTTGAATATGTACCCTTATTGCTGTGGAGACAAATATACTCCAGCATCTCAGTAAAAAGCGGATTATAAGCATTTGTTTTCACCTATAACGAAACTGGTCATGGACTGATCTAAAAACACCCTTCATATCGGTATATAAAGGTGATCTGAGACAAATAACTATATTTATTGAAACCCAAGACTTACAAAAATTTAAACCTTTATGGTGCATTCAGAAACTAGTTGTAATTAAACCAAACTTTGATAATATGGACTTTAATCTTAGCGTTAAGGATGGTGTGAATAACAGTCTCTTATTATTTTTGGATGTTTCTATACATTCCAGTGGTTTAAATCTCACTTATTTGTACTTTTTTGTGTCTTAGCAACCTAATATGCGATCAGATTGTATAAAATATATTATGCCGATATATCGCATGATTCTGATAAAAATTATTCTCGTGACGAATAAGAAAACGATGAGAACGCAACACAATGTATATTCCAGTTTATTAGAAAGTTGTTAACCTTTCATTTGGAAATATCATGTGATGTCAAACTCATTAAAGGGATCATTTGTTAAACTCATGAAGGGATTTCATGTGAAATCGACAGAATACTGTGATGTACGATGAGCGGGAGTATATCATTTATGGCACAACTCAATAGCCCCCTACTAACTGCCAGAAACAAAAACCTCAAAAAAAACAGTTGTGGCAAATATAGATTGCTTATTCGACGGGGCTCAGTGGGAGTAAAACCGTAAATGTATAGAGACATGAAAATTGCGTATGGAAACTTTTGTTGAATTCTATCTGAAAAAATAAGGCCGTTGATGGACATCAGAATTTACTTTCGTGTAAAAGCTAGAACATATTACAAACCAAACTTACCCATCAATTTATAAAGTGGTATGAAAAAATGCTGCCAGTTTTACTTGTAACTTACTTGAGCTCTATTAGTATATAAAATATCATAATCCTTTGCCACATCGATTGCCAGTGAATACAACTCAACAGCTTTTTTAAAGTTCCCAGCCTTGAAAAATGTATTTGCACGATCCTTGAGTTTATCTGCACGTTCTCGTTGTCTAGCTCGTCGCTCAGCACGTTCTTGTGCATCCTGTGCAACCGCAGTCATAAATGCAGTCACATCATCCTCTTTTCCAGTTACATCATCTGTGTGGAAAATTTCCAAAACCAGTAACTACATAACACAAGAAAATTGCATCATTTACATATAGTGAACGTAAATTCATACACATTCTTTTGTTAGATTTCCATGGGAAATGTATATGAAAACTGTTTCTCATCTGAATAAGATAACGGGTGGAAATAATAAGAGCAGAGTATCAACTAAACTACACTTAGATGGTGTTCTTCGGGAGAAATTATTTTTTAACAGCAAACCTATGAATACCAAACTCATGTCTAATGCTTCATGGTGTAGGAGTAGGTTGGAAGAAAGCTAGGGGTGGCCAGTCCAAAACGTGGCATAAATCCATGAAGTCGCTGACAAATGGACTGAGCCATGTTGGTAGTTGTAGACTACCTGGTTGGGATTCGCGAGATGATAGCAACCGATGGTTAGAGACCTTGAATGACATAACTCAAAATCAATTGAAATGGCGAAGGTGGATCCACTCTTTGTGTTCTCCCAAATTCTAATCTTCTGTATTCTTCATGTCCATATCTTTTTTTTTCTTTCCAAATTTATTTCACTGGATTATACTCCTTAAATAACATCTTCAAACCCTAATCTTCCACATAATGCTTATACTCTTACTACTTCTACCACTATGGGATTTGAATCGATAACTGCATCTCTGTGCTAATGTGGTATGGCAACTCGAACTGATGTACGTACGTTCTACGTTGTGACTGACTGTAATAAATATATAGTCCCTGTTTGGGAAAATGAAAACGCTATGCTTTTGTATGCAGATCTACTATCCCTAATTTTACCTGATTCCGTCGCAGACGTTTTTCTATGCATAACACCACTTATCTTGTAAGTCCTGTCAGCTCTGGTGGGTTAGCGCCCGACAAAATCTCAACAGGGATTCAGAAACCAGGGTTGGTATTTGCCAACATGTGTTACTTGTGGCGCTGGCGAGATGTCCACCTACCAAATAAAGGGAGTGTAAACTGAACAACAATACGCTCTATATTACTATATGACTGAAAGTAGAAGACATGCGTACAGCTTATAGTTTTGATCAAAGTTGTCTTAGAAGTATTGTCCGTGTTCTGAGGAACGACCAAGTGAGTTAAGTACCAGGAACACTTGACAAATAGGTTGAAGTTGTGAACCTTCACTAACTAAGTTTGTCGGGACGCATCAAGCATGAACAACCACTGACTACCTCGACATGAAATGTTGGATAGAGCAGGAGTAAGATGGAAAAATCTGTAGGCGTTTAAGCCAGAACGTGGTATCAGTCGATGAAGTCACTGACTGTTGGTCTGAGCCATTTTGTTAAATGCAGACTACTTGGTTGGGGTCCTCATGATAATCATGATCAGTAGTCGAGGACTTTGGGTGACATAGATCAGAATCATTTGCAATGGAACAGATACATTCATTGTTTATCCTGAGTTCCAGTATTCCTTCATACAGACTTTTCCACTGTCTTTTCGAGCCACATTTCTAATGTCCAATCTTCCTCACTACCATCCCTGCCACATTATTTTGATCACTTTTGCCATTCATCTTGTTATCTTCATTTCATCCTGCTTATAAAATAATGACAAAGCAGGTCGACATACATTTGTGCCCAGCTCTGTCCTGATTACGAAAGAAAAAAGTGTACACAGATCTAACCGAAGTGGTCGGAGTAAAACACAAAAGTATAGGGAAATTAATTTCTATATCACTATCAACCATTTTATTCGACTGTATCTAAGCTATTCACAAGTTCATGAATACAAAGCATACCAAAAAAGGAAGTAACGACTGAGTATGATCGCTGAACGAAGTTATATCAACTTTAGTCTATTAAGATGAGCCGTAGACCCAGAACGAAAGCAATTTTTTTTAATATAAACTAGAATTGAGTTGTGGCGAAATTCACTAAAATCATTCAGAACGACCTTTCGATATAATAAGAGATCAAACTTAACTGCCATAAAGGAAACTTGGTGAATGAATTAATCATATGGGAGTGATGAGTAGTAATCAAGATATAGCCCGAAATCCTGGATTGATCATGATTCAAGACTAATTTCACAAACAGAACTGATGTGCTTAAAAGTAAGTCCTACTTCAAACCCAAGTGTAGATACTAAACCGCATCAGCTTTAAGGAATAAAAAAGACCAATCATAAGACACCATTTTCGAGGGAGTTTGTGGGAACCAGACTCTAGGCTGATGATGAGCGACCGAGTGTTCATAGGAAGCTAGGAAATTTTAAAATTGAAGAGCAAAAATTGAGTCTTTGATTACACTACAGAACAGAGATTACAACCATTATACCTGATCTTTAGAAATTTGTTTGGCAATTGCAGAAAATTGATTTTTACGAATACGATAGGAAGTATGAAGGACGTTAGGTACTATAAATTTTTTGAGAAGTATTCACAAAAGAGATTATACTTCAACCAGCTATTAGCCTGATATGTGACTAAAGATTTTGACTGGTCGAAAGCTTTTGATTCCACGCCTTTTGCTTTAGTTTTCACTGAAAAATAACATCTGATCGTCAATAATTGGGCAAATATTTTAACGTGGGTAAGTCATTCGTATTTTGAACAATAAATTTACAGTCTTTAGAAACTTGAGGTTATCATGGTTTTTGATTACCTTATTTGTATGCACAGATAACTGACTTATCACTTAGTAATCCGTAAAACCTCGGTTATGAAACACAGGAAACAATAATTTTCCGAAATAGAACTCAAAAGATAATGAAACTTGAATTTATCGCTAACGTAATCTTATATCAGTACACTTGTACCAATATTTTCTTGGAAAACTATACTGACTGTAGTTCAGATGAAGGAAATGCTATCTAGTAGAGATGAAGCTTACATCAGCGGCGTCAATTTTGGGTTTTTGTTAAACATCACTGTTTTTACAGATAAGTTAACTAATAATTGATTATTGATGTGCATATACATGAGTTTGCTATACATTATTAGAAGAATAGGAATGTTTACGAGTACGAATGCATCAAATTCCTGTGGAACGCTGAAAAGCGCTCCGGATCGGACGCTAGGACAACCCTCACAGTAGTACTTCAGGAACTTCATGAGCATGAATTGAAAATACTAGTGTAATAGTTCCTTTTAAGGACTCAAAATATCAAGTATTTAATGGGTATGTCATGTAAATAAGGGGTCAGAATTAGTCAAAGTTGCAATAAGATCGTGTTCGCTAGCCCTGAACTCATTTTAAGTGGTACCACTAAAAACACGACACACATAGCGGACACAACCAATATTGGTCATTTCCCATACGATAGGGATGAACGACTAATTAACACAAGAAACAGAATTGTACGTACGTATCTTAAGTGAAACACACAAACAATGAGTATTACCTAAGTTTTTTGAAGGTTGGTCCAATTTATTGATAACAGACCTGTCGAAACCTATAGTTATCATAAAATGGGAGTTATTGTAAGCACTTGCCATCACTGCATTTCTGTTTAAGAAAATCATCGGCTTCTTTGCAAGCTATACTAGCAACGGCACTGTCTTCTGAAGAAAGCCTTTGCACTAAATCAAAAACTTTTTCAGCATCCTGTAGTTTTTTCAGAGACTCTTTTGTCTTCATGATGTTCAGCTTCTCGAATATTTATGTTTAGACTTAAAGTACCCTGTGTGTTGGGAAGATTATGAGAAGCAGCTTATGAAGAAATCTGGATGAAAAAATAAAAAAAGTAAGCCGGCGACTCTGAGTACATGTGATACACTTACATTTAATAATGAAAACAATCGACGACAGTCAGTACGAAAGAAATGGCAAGATTAAGACAATCTGATAATGTTAAGTTGATAGCGTATGGTTTCGAATGCGTCACAACCACACAAACCGCGCACAACAAACTGTCCCGTCCTTTTTAAATTTATCCCCACTGCAGACCTTAGTATTTATGATAATTCCGTTCAATTAAATGACAAAGTCAATCGTTTCTTGATACTGATTGTGTGAATTTTCTTTCTTGAATGAGCCAACTGAAGGCCTGGAAATTATCGCTTCTTTCAGCCCTCACACTAACTCCTCCAGAAACGACGCTGATTCAAAAGGTTCAAATGGTTGAGGACGGAATAGAAGAAGCTTTCACTTAACGGGCCTCCGTGTCTAATAGCAGTGGATCACTAATACCTCCAGGCAAGAACCTAAGTATATTAACGATAACAGAGAGAAAAAGAATTTGGTAAATCATAATATGTTATCCTTAGTCCTTAAGAATAAGTCAAGTTTTCTCTTAAAGGACTCCAGCACTGGACAACTCTAAAGGAGTAGAAGTTGTGTCTGCAGTCTGTTCTGCTATGTAGGGTCTCCAGTTTCTGGGTGTTACCTCTCAGGTTAGTGTTATGACTAAGCTTAAGAAGATGTTTAAGGGGATGACCAGAAGTATTAAGGATACTATAAGTTATAAGAATGTCACCTCTAAGATGCCTGTACTCTAACGGGTAAAAGTTAAGCGACTGGAGGCGCTCTTCGTAAGGTTTGAATTTGAGGCCCCGAACTGATTTCGTGGCTCGACGTTGTATACGTTCCAGAGTTTCCTTATCCTTTTGGAGGGAGGGGGGAAATACCATGTTTCCATACTCTAAATGGGGATGAATAAAACTGCTGAAGATTATGTGGAAGGTCCTACGGTCGAACTGGCCAAAAATGCTCTTCAATGTTACCAGTTCAAGGTTTGCTTGAGAGGCGTTTTTGTCACAGTTCGCATACGATTTCAGGTCATAGGGTACCAACACTCCTAAAACTTTTTAAACTTGGAAAACTTCTAGAGAGGATTAACCTAAGTTATAACTATAGTCTGCATATTGTCGGTGAAATGTCACTGAACATCGAACAGTTCACTGATCCCTATCAAGGTCAAGGATAGTCAACGCGCATCAATAAAATTATATGCCATGAACTGGCCCACGCGGCAGTGGTTGTTCTTTCACTTCTGTACTTTAATGGTTGTACCGTAACTAATACATGCTTGCAATAACGTCCTTTGTGCTGTACAGTCTCCATAGCGTCCATGATCCTTTGATGCGTCGATGGTTCAAACCACGTAAGGCCGGTCGCGAGGTGTAACTTCAGCGTTAGTTGGTTCGTCACCATTCTCGTCTAACTATAGCAGGCCCCCAATCATTTCGACATAGAACATCTGCGTTGATGTTCTACATCTGCAAACATGTCTCAGATGGACTACTTTGCACTCTGAAGTGTTGAAGGTAAGTCCGTTGTCGTCTGCCCAACTTTGAAGTCGGGTCAGATCCTCCTGAAGAACTAGTATATCATTATGATTACGTATCTCTCTCCAAAGTTTCACATCATCAGCAAAAAGCAATAAGTCAGATGAAACTTGTTGAGGAAGATCGTTATTGTAAATCAAGAAGAGAAGAGGTTCTAGTATTGAGCCCTGGGGGACCCCACCAGGACATTCCATAGCCTGAGAGAGAGAGTGAAGTTAACCCTGACCTTAAAGTGTCGGTTTTCTAGATATGAAGTGAGCCAGTCAATCAGAGGGGGTTTGATACCCAATCGTCTAAGCTTATTGATAAGGCATATGTGGTTGACCCTATCAAAAGCTTTTGAGAAATCCAGGTAAATTATGTCAACCTTCCCCTTGCGATTGTAGCTGTAAATAATTCCACAAAATCAATAGCTCTTTAAGTGCTCGACATTGGATGCTGACGACATTGTTTAAGTGGACTTGTTTAACTGAAGGTTTTCGGTCACGCATCCGTACCAGATCATGTTTCGAACCAGCGTGGGACACAGCTCCTACGTTCGCTAGCCAGATCAGAGTAAACGCTTCTCGATATATTGATAACGTATCAAATATATCTTTCCACCTCTTCTCGTCTGACTTCTGATTTCAACTGATGGGGAAATGATTCCAATATAGAAGGTGTTGCTGGTCGCTAGTTGTCAAATTAGAATACCAGTCGTATCTTCACGAACAAGGATGGTTGTCCATCTATCCACCGCAGTCAGCAGATTAGTCATACAAGAATGACCCTTTCTGAAACCGTGCTGTTGGGGTGAGAAGAGCCTTAAGGATAATAAGTATTCTTGTATACCGTCCTATATTAAAGATTTCATAATTTTAGAAGGTATGGAGAGAAGGGTCACTGGTTGGTAGCTTGAGGGTTCACTGCGTCGACCTCCTTTGAAAATTGGTGTGATGTGAGCAAGCTTCTGAATTTCCGGCAGTTTGCCCCAGCTTAGCGAGTGTGAAAGCATCACGCTAAGTGGTGATGACAGGATTAAAGCTGCTTCCCTCAGTATAGCAGAATGAACCATATCCAGACTGGGAGAAGTGTCTTTTCTAAGGTACTTCAGTTTACGGAGCACCAGGTCAGCACTCAGGTTCACTTCGGAAAGTCCTGTACAGGTGCAGGTGAAGCTTTCGTCAGTATAGTTGATGTGGGTCGGCTGGAATGTCTGAGAGTATTGTTCAGCCAAAAGGTTAGCGGCATCACCGTCGTTATTGGTCGGACCTTTAGGACCTAGCAATTGGGAAGCTCCAGTTTCGCCTTGCCGAAGAGAAGATGTGTAATGGAATAAGCTTTTCGGATTGGAGACAAATTTATCGATAAGCTTGGTCTGGTACTGAAGCCTGTCTTCTCTTATCGCCTTTGAGCATATGGCTCATGGGAACTACATTAGTGACAGGTTTTTACAAACTTTCCTATGATAGGCGACTAAAACTCTTATCGTATCGTAGAATTCTGAGTGACCCTCTATTGGTGTTGTGTATCTTAAATTGTGATTTAGACTTAAACGGAGGGAATACTCTGAAAATCCCTTCAAAGTGGTTTATCGGACAGCATTGTTATTACTCTCTCCTTTGTTCGCGTCTTGTATTTCGGCTTTTACCCAGTTCATTTGTAACTACTCTTTATGTTCCTCAATTTTCTGTGTCCGGGCTTTTATTGTCTGACTTTGGTTAAAAATTTACCCTCACTACTCAGTTTTACTGTCGCATGTTTCCGGGACATAGACAATAAGGTCTTGTTTGACTAAACTCAGAGTTAAGGAGTGGTCTAGTTGATGACTGTTGACTTTCGACTACCTACTGGAAACGGTTACCCGAATCCTTACAAATAGAAATTTAATATTATCTTGCAGGGGATACTCTTTTTCATTAACAGGCACCAAACACATTTGTCAGCTATCCCTTTTTCCATTAAATACGTTATTTTTTGTCAAAGAAACGTTTGACTGTATACCACAGGCTGTACCATTTGAGGCATTTTGTACTTTTGGATACAATTTATTTGCTTTTTTAAATTGGTACCCTTTAGATTGAGCACAGAGTTTCTGTCTTGGTATAAATTAATACGAGTTTCTGTGATGTTTGTATGGAATAATAGTTCATTTGTACTTGGATAGTCAACGCGCATCAATAAAATTATATGCCATGAACTGGCCCACGCGGCAGTGGTTGTTCTTTCACTTCTGTACTTTAATGGTTGTACCGTAACTAATACATGCTTGCAATAACGTCCTTTGTGCTGTACAGTCTCCATAGCGTCCATGATCCTTTGATGCGTCGATGGTTCAAACCACGTAAGGCCGGTCGCGAGGTGTAACTTCAGCGTTAGTTGGTTCGTCACCATTCTCGTCTAACTATAGCAGGCCCCCAATCATTTCGACATAGAACATCTGCGTTGATGTTCTACATCTGCAAACATGTCTCAGATGGACTACTTTGCACTCTGAAGTGTTGAAGGTAAGTCCGTTGTCGTCTGCCCAACTTTGAAGTCGGGTCAGATCCTCCTGAAGAACTAGTATATCATTATGATTACGTATCTCTCTCCAAAGTTTCACATCATCAGCAAAAAGCAATAAGTCAGATGAAACTTGTTGAGGAAGATCGTTATTGTAAATCAAGAAGAGAAGAGGTTCTAGTATTGAGCCCTGAGGGACCCCACCAGGACATTCCATAGCCTGAGAGAGAGAGTGAAGTTAACCCTGACCTTAAAGTGTCGGTTTTCTAGATATGAAGTGAGCCAGTCAATCAGAGGGGGTTTGATACCCAATCGTCTAAGCTTATTGATAAGGCATATGTGGTTGACCCTATCAAAAGCTTTTGAGAAATCCAGGTAAATTATGTCAACCTTCCCCTTGCGATTGTAGCTGTAAATAATTCCACAAAATCAATAGCTCTTTAAGTGCTCGACATTGGATGCTGACGACATTGTTTAAGTGGACTTGTTTAACTGAAGGTTTTCGGTCACGCATCCGTACCAGATCATGTTTCGAACCAGCGTGGGACACAGCTCCTACGTTCGCTAGCCAGATCAGAGTAAACGCTTCTCGATATATTGATAACGTATCAAATATATCTTTCCACCTCTTCTCGTCTGACTTCTGATTTCAACTGATGGGGAAATGATTCCAATATAGAAGGTGTTGCTGGTCGCTAGTTGTCAAATTAGAATACCAGTCGTATCTTCACGAACAAGGATGGTTGTCCATCTATCCACCGCAGTCAGCAGATTAGTCATACAAGAATGACCCTTTCTGAAACCGTGCTGTTGGGGTGAGAAGAGCCTTAAGGATAATAAGTATTCTTGTATACCGTCCTATATTAA